AATGGAAAGTGAAAAAACAAGGGAGAGGAAGGAAGTGGGAAATAAGAAAGTAGACAGAGGGCAGTAATGTCTAGACATGTTAATGTTATGAGGCAATAGATACATGTATACTGATTTTGATTTTGTTTACTAAGTAAGACATGTAGAAATTAGTTAGTCTAACAAAAGCCAATTCCATAGATATTTTGCTGATAATGCCATGAGGACACAAGGAGCTACTGGGAGTGAAAGAGAATGGGGAGACTTTAGCAAGGAGAAAGGACAATAAAAGAACTGGTTTAAGGAAAGCAGAAGAATTCCACAGGTGAGAAGTGTGAGAAAAGTAACTATTAGAATAGTACATATGGTTGTATCTAGCTAGTTCAATAGTAAAATGGTGAGACCTAGTTGCCAGTCTAGTAACACATTTAAATTCATGCAGTCAAGGAGGAAAGCTCATCAGAACAATTGCCATGAAAATATTTGTAGAAAAAACAGAAGAAAACCATGTCATATTGGCGAGAAAGTGACTGAAGCTTAAATGCCAGATCAGGATCATTTCCATTACAAACCCTTCTTTGAATTTTGTCAAGAATCTCATGATATATAGTAGACCAGATATGGCAGCAATTATTCAATGCATGGATGAATGGTAGATTTATAAATGGGCAAGAAGGATTCTGATGAGAAGAATTGTCTGGTACAACACAGTGAACCAATTTTCCTAGCAGTAGATCTAGCAATTGATTCCACTTCATGTCAGTAGAAAAAGTCCAAGAAGGTGTAAAGAGTTGCATTCCTAGATGTTAGCATCATCTATGCTGATAGCAGGTAGAAAATGTTCTGTATGGTGATTAAATGAAGGCAATTATGTTTTGGAGGCATTTAAATTCACAAGCTATTCCTTGCCCAGTTAACCACTGGTTGGAAGTCCTTTTCAAAAGCAGTTGCCAGTTTTACTTTGTTGGGTCTCTTGTACTTGCTTACTAAGACATAAGCATAAGTACCTAGTTGGTAACTGATGACATTGGGAAGGTTATTGATGAAGTTAAGAAACCACATAGATAGAGCTCTGGAGGGCCCCTCCCCACAATAATGTGAGATGAACTAGAAGTGTGTCCATTCAACACAACCTTCATTGAACAATTTCTTAGGAATAAATGAATTAAGCCAAATATTCATCCAGCTAGTGAAAAAGACCAGCATGCCAAACCATGTTCAACACTTTTGAGATATCTAAAACCACAGGCTGAGTTTCACTGTTCTTATCTAAAGCCTGATACATAAATTCAGTAATAGCCATTAACACATCGGCAGTAGACCTGAAGAAATGAAGCCATATTGCTAATCTGAAAGAAGGCCACGTGAAGTGAGATGCTTACTTAACCAATTCAGCATTGAGTACTTTGCCAAAAAGAGGTAAAAGACTAATAGGGTGATAATTCGTGGTGTAGAAAGTTTACCAGAGTTCTTATAAGCAGGAACTACAAAGGAGGATTTCTAACAATCTGGAAAGTAAAAAATAGTGAGGCATTTATTGTAAAGTTTGGAGAGAATAGGAACCAGTTCAGGATCACATTTCTTTAAGATAATTTCAAGGATATCATTGAATCAACAAGGATTGTGGGGATCTAGTTTAGAAATGATAACAAAAACCATGAATGTAGTTATGTACTTATCACTCAGTAGAGACTCTGTTCTTGGGGAATAATCAGACAGAGATGCGCCTGATGAGTTGAGAGTGGATTTGTTTGTATTTTGCAGGATAGAAGAAGTTTACATAGAATTGTGGGTTTGATATTAGAAATTAGGAGCAAAAAATGCTTATATATATATATCTTGACAGTAATATTGCAAAGGTATCATTACTAGTTTTATTTTAGTGCAGTGTTTGAAGAAATTCATTTGTAGAATTAACACAATATTTATTTAATAATTATGGTAGGATCATTTAGCTTAAAGTCTTGAATGTGTGGTATAATATGAGTTCATGTGTTTATTTGTTAGAAATTGCAATTATATTCAAGCTTCTCAGAATTAGTAGGATCTGTGCAAGTTAAAATATTTACAGATAAAATAAATTTCTTGCTTGATTAACATTTTGGCTGCTCTTATGGGCAAGAAGTTTATATATCCTAACACCTAAGAGAACAAGTAAAAAAAAATATTCTTTCAAGATGAGTTGAATGTTCAAGCATTTACTTTACCAATTGTGATTATTTCCTATTTATGCTTGATCCTCAATAGCAATGTTGCAATTAAGCATTATTTTTTTTTTCTCTTATTAGAATTTTTTTGCAACACTCAGATGCATGTTGAAATCCTCACAGTATTGTTGATTGAATTGTATTTAAAATTGTGGGAGTATTTTTTAAGTTAAATAATAAAACTTTTAAATTCCCCCCCCCCCAAATTAATGAAAATTTATTGTACTAATTTGTGCACACTAGTAAAACCAACTGTACTAAGTTGCGCACACTAGTAAAACCAACTGTACTTTGTACCCCTTTACTTGTTTGTGCTTCTCCCCAAAATTTGGTTTTGATTTGTCAATGTATGGCTATTCTAAATTGTGTGGTGGATAGACAGACTAATGAAAGCCACAGAATTTTCTATACTAGAATCTTTTTGCAACACACTGACATGTGTTAAAATCCTGACAGTATTTAATAATGTTGAAGTTATTGCTAAAATCTTTTATCAAGATTACAAACGTTTTGTTCAATTTCACAAGCCAATCAATGAAATTTGAATAAACTGATTTGTTTGGAAAATACGTTGGCAAAAACCCTACTTCACAGTTTAATAATTTCTTTAATTTAATTTCATTTTATAGGACATCATAGAAAACAATATTATTTAAGAAAAATTCTTTTTTTCCTTTTTAACAGTGAAGAATAAATTCTTAGGATTTCTTACTCTTGATTAGTCAACATACAACTGGCTATGCATAAATATTTCTTTCTGGAGCCAAATTCCAACTTTTTGAATTGTTTGGCCTTTTGATTTGTTTATAGTTCTTGCAAATGCAAACTGGAAACTAGATTCTTGTATATAAAAACTTAAAAGAAAAGATATGCAAAAAATAGTATTGCATTTTTATTTATTAAGTGTTTGTTATTTTAATCATTAAATTGTTTTTAAAATAGTGGGAATATTTTGTATGTTAAATAATTAAACTTTAAATTTTTCAAAAAAAAGTTGAAAATTTATTGTACTAAGCTATACACCCTAGTAAAACAAACTGTACTTTGTACCCACTTATCTGTTTGCACTTCTCCCCAGAATTTGGTTTTGATTTGTCAATGTATGGCTATTTTAGAGGGTTTGACAGACTAACAGAAGTCACAGAATTTCAGATATAGATATATTATATAAAGAGTAAACTTAAAACAGATATGGTTTTAATCTGCTTGCAATGCCATTCCAATTTCATATTCATAAAATCCCAATGCCTGTGATAAATGCAATCATTCAATCATATCCACAATCTTTATAAAGTAATTTCTTTATATTATCTTCTAATGTTCATTATTGTCTGACCCGATGATTTATTTAGTTATATAAATAGGTTTATCTTGTAATTTTGCACAGTTATCATAGAATGAAGATATGTTTTTCTTTTCATCTATTTATCTAGAAAAGAAAGAATCCAAATGTTGATGATGATTAAGAAATAAAATTGAAATAAAAATGATAGGAAATTGAAACACAAATTTATTAATTAATATGGAAAAATCAAATGGAAAGTCAAAGCAGGCAATGGTAATTTCTGTAGTTCAAGTTCAAAGATGAGACAGCACAATAATAAGCTTGTAATTCAATTGCTTGTTAAAGAATAACTGTTGATTAATTTGATATTTTCTTTCAGAAATGGCCTGATCTTGATCTGACTGAAAAACAGCATTTTGTAACAATTCCATTGAAGAGTACAGTATATACTCAGACTTCTTCTTCTGTAAGTACAGCCATTTGCAATTTTACTTGACACTTATTTTCAGTATAATGATTAATTGTATTCTGATTATCAAAATTAAATTTGATTTATTTACTTTCAGACTAAATTCCTCATCTTTGTTGTTATTATCACAACATTTTGGCCATTTGAATGAAGAAGGCCAGAGAGCACCTCCAGCCTTCTCCATGTGCCTGTCAATCTGGGTAACCTTCAGGGAATTTAGAACTGAACCCTTTATTTAATATATGGGGTAGATTGTTTTTGTTCTGCTGTCCATATCTAGGTATATCTTGTCTCAGTTATTGCTTACCCTGTTTCCACTGAGTCTAAGTCTGTACTACCCAAACTGGGGATTGATCTCACAATTACTGTGTCACCAAATTTATGAACCATTTCTTTAATTCACTAGTGGATTAAGACAGTGTTCCTCAACCTTTTTAAGCAAAGGCACACACAGAAGCAAATGAAAATATCATGGAACACTTAGCAAAATTTTTAAAGGGTATACATTTAAATGTTATGAAATAAAACCATAGATAAAAAAATACACAAACAAATATGAACTTGCTTTATTTCAATGTTTCTGTTCAACTATTTGTGCAGCTTATTTAGTGGGAAACCTGTGCCTTTTTTTTTTCATAATTTCTTCAATGTTTGGTCAAATGTGCGATAAGCAGACATTCATTTCTTCTTCAGTTAAGCGTAGTCATTCTCACTTCTTATTTTTGATGTTATTTAGTGGCACACTTAAGATAATCGTGTGGCACACTAGTGTGCTGTGGCAGTGGCAATTAAGTATCACTGAATTAAAGTGTTGGCTCAGTTTGATTTGTTTTATATAAGAGTAGTTATTCTAAAATAAGGCAAAACACATTTGCTTGCTTGTGTCTTATTTGTAGGAATCTTGCTCATCAAATATCATCTTGTACACACTTTAAGATATAAATGTTAAGATTTTTCTACTATAATAATTTCATTACATAATTTTGTATTATTAAAATACTGTGGAGTCAAATAATTTCATGATTAATACAGTTTTTTCTTTTTTTCTTTTTTTTTTCAGAGTGAACTACATGCTGTCAATAATCTGAACTTGTTACATGACTGTCTTCAAGGATATATGACCAGATACAATGCAGCAAAAGTCTTTAACAACCTTGATATTTTTCTCTCAGAATATACCATCTCCCACATTATCAGGATTCATCGTATACTTTCCTATCAAAGGTATGTTTAAATTTTGCATATTCATCTAGCAATATTTTTTTTTCTTTCATGATTTCTAATGGTGAATTATTGATATGTATTTGTAAATATTCTTCTATTTTTTTAATTTCAGAGGACATCTTCTAACAATAAGTTCTTTAGGAAGTGGAATAGAAAAGCTTTGCATTTTGGCATGTGAAGTTGCCAATGTCAGTATTGTGAGAATGGAGAATCTTCAAGGATCTGATTTTATTGATGGTTTGAAAGATGCTATAAGACAAGCTGGTACCACTGCTAACACAATTGCAATACTTCTTGATGTAAGTCAGTCATAAAACAGAGTAACAGCTAATTTAAGTGACTAAATCATTACTTTTTTGCTTTTGAATATAATTTGAAATCACTTTAAAGTACGGATTTGTGATTTTAGATAAAATTCAATAGTATTAATTCATTCAGAATGAAGAAAAACTGTCAAATAAAGTAACTTAGTGATATGAAGTCATTTGGAAGCCATAATAATAGTATAATATAATATTATATTAATATAATATCAGTATTTGATATTCACAAGTAAATATTAGTTTTTTTACTTTTTTATTCTGATTGAATTAAAAATATACTTGTATTTAACTCTGAAATAAAAGCTTATGCTGTGTAATGACAAAAGTATGCAGGTGTAGGCTTTAAGAAAGCTTTATTCAACTGAGAATACACGATTCGTTTATAGTGTCCTTTTATAGTCACAGTAAACAGAAATAGCTCTCAAAGAGGAGAGTAACAAAACAAGGGGAGGTCACTTTTGATTATTCATAAGATGCTATATGCATACTTTTATGAATAAAATTAGATGTAAACTTTTACTGATATATATATATATGGGATAATGATATATAAATTTTTTATACATCAAGAAAAATTTTATGGGGTAAAAGTTTGACCAAATGGAAATAGTTTTTGTGTGACACATTTTGTCCTTTAGGACTTCATTGGACTAAGTTTATTTTTAAGTTGATGTGACTACACAGGCACAAGATCTGCCAAGAATGAAAAAACATTGTAAGAACCTGGATGCAAATTTACTGTGGATGATTAGCGATTAAAGCACTTTCTAAACATTTTGTTCTTAGTAAATTGTTTTCTCTTTTAATAAGATTAGCATTATTAAATCAAAACTGTGGTCAGTCTCATTATGGTGAGCAACTAATGCATTTAATGTGTTGTTTTGCAAAAGGTCTCTTTTGTGTTCATATAATCTTTTATTTAAATTCCTTGAGGTTTCTCTGATTCTTGGCATCAGTCTAAAAAAAAAGAAGACTGCTTTATTTGTATCTACATTAGCTGTAGTTTCTCATATTTACTAATTTAGTACTAGATTGCAAACCAAATTAACTTTAAACTAATATGATGACTGAAAATACTGTAAAAAAGCTAAGATAGAGAAGGGGAAGATTTAAAATTTCTTATTCTTCTCTTTATAAATACTTTTAGAGGTATTGACAAAGAAAACCAGACTCTTACTTGAAGTGAAATTTGTAATGAAACAAACATTTAATAGAATCACAGCAATGTTTCTACAATATACAATTTGTACAAAATACAGTATAGGCTTTGCACAAAATTTCCCTTGTGCACTTTAATCTCACAAGGCAGATTAACAGTTCTTTGAAATACAAATCTGTTTTCTCTTAGAAAACAACAGTACATAAAAACAAAATTTTTCCTTAACAACTTTCTTTTAAAGCAACAGTTCATATAAATGAATTTCTTAGCAGCAAAAGAAATTTACTTTAAAAAGTTCACAAAATGTTGAAGGTTCAAAGGTTGAAAGTCAAAGGGAATAAGAAAAGGTTGACCTACCTTGGATGAAACGCATACTCTAAGTTTTTTAGACAAAATATTCAGGGTTTCAGAATGGGTGTTCTCTCATATGATATAAACTATTGCATATTTAGATAAGATATTCTGAGTAAAGAGAATTCTTGTAGGGTTCTTTTTTATTTTTCTCCTTCTTCTTCAGCTGCCACAGTAATAGTCGCAGCAGCAGTTTTTATTATCTCCGGTCACAGCTTTTCTTGAAGCCTCTTCTTTTTTTCCAAATCATTATACATGAATTTTCATTCATTTTTTTTTTATAAACCATCCATCCTCATTTTGGCAGTTTCTTTGAAAAAGAAACTGTGTTAGTAATATTAGTAACATTTTACTTTTCTTAATTAGTTTTTCATACAATTTCAAATTATCTTTTTAGATTAAAATAGTTCTTATATTAATATTTACACAATTCAAACCTTTTAATTTTTTTTTCATATAATTCTAATATTTGTTTTTATTAAAAGTAATTTTTGTAACTATTGAAAAAATAAAGAAAACTTGCTATAAAATAATAATTTTTGAAATCTAATTTATTTTCCAGGCTAAAACACTTCAAAATCCAATTCACTTGGACTGCATTAACAGCTTTCTGGTCACTGAGGATTATACATCTTTTTTCTCCAATGAAGAATTGCCTACAATTCTCCAAGTAAGATTTCAGTTCCTCAATTAAAAGATTGTAATCATGTCATTTTCACTGAAGAGATATCATGAAAGAATAAGTTTAACAGAACCAAAAATTATTCATTTTTAAAAAAAGAACTGTGACTAAAATGTTCTAGTTTATCCACTTATTAGATCATAATTAAAAAATTAATTATTATTAGTGCTAAATACAGTTTAGAAGATCCTATTTCTTTTTTTAATTAATACAAGATATTGAGCAAAGTTGGGAAAATAAGTGTTCTTTATTTTGCTATAAGATTTAATGAAAACATTCAATGACTACTTTCTAAAGAAAGCATGATAAAGATACTGCAGGCAAAATTGCTTAAATTACTTTAAAAAAGAAGCTTATAAAATGTGTAAAATGCAAATACATTTTTAATAATTTCATTGTCTTTTTTGGAGAAATTGACTGTTGGTCAGGCAGGAAAGGAGGATGATGGTACTCCTAATCAGTTCCATAATTAATGGAACTGATTAGGAGAAGGTTCTGGGATATCTGTACAGTCCCCTCTCTGACACACAATGTATCACTAACCATTGAATGCGACCCAAATGTTTCTACAAAGAGACAAATTCTTTCTGAAGCAGCAAGACTCTTTGACTCCTTGTCTCTATACTTTCCTGTCTCATTGCGAGGTCGGATCATGTTGAGCTATGGGAGAAAGGCTTAGAATGGGATGAGCAGGTTCCACATGAGTTTTCATCCCAGTGGAAGAACCTTTCACTTGACCTCTCTGGATCAGGGGCCATTTCCTTCCCCTGAAGGTCCTTCAGTAAGGATAAGGCTGATTAACCATACAGATGTGGAACCAATACCTGGAAAAATTTAGGGCCTTATGGCATAATGAATACTTACTCAGCCTCAAGGAAAGGCCCTGTGTCATACTCTGGTGCTATTTCAGAACAGACTGAGGGTTGGGGTCTTGGGATTGTCACAGAGGTGATTAATTGATAGGATGATGTTGTCAGGTCAGCTAAGGTCAAACAGGGAGGCAGTGAAGTGCAAGTCCACTCCTTGAAACACCTGCTTCCTTTTGAGCTGTCCCTGTCATCTGAAGATGATCAAGTCAGAGTTATGCCCCTGCCTATTGGTGTACCTGCAGTAGATCATGCTTTTATCCCTCCTGAAACCTTGCCTTATGAGGAAGGAAATGTTCTTTGGCTCTGTTGGGTGTGTAGGGATTGTATCTACCCCTCCTTCATATACAAAAATGGTACTGTCTGGATTGTGCTCCTCTGAAATGGTGATTGGGTAGGCATGATCTACTCACTAAGTTGATGCACGATTATAACAAAAAAATATACAATTCTTACTAATATTATTAACTGTTCTTGGTAAAGCACTGTAGATCCCTATATATTTGTTTCTATTCATTTTTTTTCTTCTGCTTCTCAGGAATGTGTGGAGAAATTGTTGGTCAGGCAGGAAAGTAGCAAGATACTTACCTTGTGTTGTTGAAATGCTTACTAAACAAAACCTTGTTATTTTCTGTACTAACCCTTTATAGTTAAAGTGGTCATGTGACAGGGTTACCATGTGATTCTTGAAGTTGCATAAAAGAAGAGAAAATTTATTTCTTTTAACTTTAAAACTTCCATGTTATCAAATAGTTATACATCACGGAAAAGTAGCAATATATTTCACAACTCAAGGTGAGTGCTATTACTTATTTTTTCCTCAACCTGACCAACCTTTGGGGATTAGAAGCATTTCTCGAGACTTTCTCTTAGGATGAATATTGAATGAAATGCTTAATAGATCAAAAAAATATTTAAACAAAAATGAAATTGATGTCACTTAGAATATATTTGCTAATTTTATTTGTTTTTGTTTTTATAAATAGACTTTCCTTTCTATTTCAAAAACTGCTTTTCCTTTTAGGCATTGGTTCCTGAAGGCAAAAAAGACCAAGAAAAAAAAGTTGAACCTGCTGTACTTTTTAGTTTTCAAATAAACCATAATTTGCACATATTGATTAATTTTACCCCAACAGACAACTTGCTATCCACTGCATTAAGGTATGTTTCTTAATGTGTATTGAGATCATTATAGTTTTCAGTGACTTTTTTAAGTGCATTACCAAGTAACAAAGATTGAGCAGTTGGGGTGAGGGTTGAAAATGAAAATTTGTTTCACAAAGAAAAAGGAAAGGAAAAGAAATAGTAAATCTAAAATTTTTATATTTCAGAATTTGTTAGGGTGTTTTAGAAAAATTGTTTCTCTTTTCTTTTCTTTTTTTCTTTTTTTTAGTCCAGTTTCATCTTGTGAAAACAGTTATCATACAACAGGAAATGAATGAGATGTGCAGACACAGTAATAGACACAAAATATGCATAAATGTTTAATTTGAAATTTGTGTTAGTTGAAGAGTATAAAATGAGTAACTATGCAAATGTTATTGTTCTTATAAAGAAATCAAATTTACTATTTAGTCATTGAATCAAATATGGTTAGATTTGAGTTTTCCCTATTTTTTTTAAACAAGATTTTAAAATTAGTTTTAACCTAATCTATTTATTTTTCAGTAGGTATCCCAGTTTATTGAAGGTTTGTCAGATAAACTGGATGTGTGACTGGTTAAAAAATAACCTTCTTTCAACAGCAACTTACTTTCTTAAAAAATCTGACATTCTCAAAGAACCTGAGTTGAGGTAGGTACTAAATTTTTTGTAATGTTATTATTTACACTAATATGCACAAGGTTTAAAACATTTGTGACTATTCTTGGTTTATTTTTATTTTTATTTTAATCAATTTTACCCCAAGTCAGGCAGTAAAGTCACTAAAACAAGGTGTTACTGAGTGTGAAAGAATTAGAAAGTAGAAACATTATGAAGGAATGAAAACAAGAATAATCAGGAGAACAGTAGATAACAATTGGCATTGCATTTAAATTTTTGAAGATCAAAGTTGGCCAAAAAGCATGGAGCCAGAAGAGAGTTCCACAAGTGAGAAGTGCAAGAAAAGAAACTGTTAGCAAAAAAATTATGGTTACATCTAGCCAACTCAACTGTATATTGATGAGACCTTTTTGGCAATCTAGTAATGCTCTTCAATTCATAAGATCTTCATACCATAGCAAAGAGCTCATCTGAACAATTATCATGAAAGTATTTATATTAAGGGCATATGGAAGCAACTTTATGGTTGTGGGAAAGTGATTGAAGCCAAGATACCAGGTCAGAACCAATAATATTAATGATTCTTCTTTGGATTTTATCAAGAATCTCTAAATAAATGAGCACCGAACTGGCAGCAAATAGTCAAATAGTAGACTTATAGATATGTAAGAAACATTCTGGAGAGAAAAAATAATATAGCACAACACAGGAAACCAACTTTCTTAGCAGCTGACCTAACAATGAATTCAATTTAGTCTTTCCATTTCATGTCAGGTGAGAATGTTAACCTAAGAAGGCACAACATGTCACTCTCCTGGGGGTTAGTACCAGGCAGAAAGGAGTCTCTCAGATGATTAATAGAGAGCAATTTTGTTTTAAGGGCATTAAAATTAACAAGCCATTCTTTGTTCTGGTTGACAACAGACTGTAGATTGTTTTTGGCATTATGTGCCAATTAAACAAATCAGGCTTAGTATTGAGACAGGAGTAAATGGTTGCATGCATCAGCATAGATACCAAGTTAAGAGCTGATATCCTCAGGAATGTGATTAATGAAAATTAAAAACAAAGTAGGACCAAGGATAGAGCCCTGGGGGGACACCTACATAAGTACAGAAGGACTTAGAAGAGTGGCTGTTCAGGAGAACTTTAATTTCACAATTTGATTTGCATTGTGAGATGCTTAACTAATTTAGCATTGATTAAGGCCTCTTGTACTTTGCCAAAAATATGTAGAAGATGAATAGGCCAATAGTTAGAAGTATCAGTTGGTTTGCCTGAGTTCTTAAAGATTGGAACTACAGATGATTTCCACAAGTAGGAAAGCAAGAAGCAGCAAGGCATTTATTGTAGAATTTAGAGAGAACAGGAGCCAATTCAGAAGTACATTTCTTAAGGACTATTGCAGGAAGACCATCATCCACATGCTTTGAGAGGATCCAGTTTAGAGATGATAGCAGAAACCATGGATAGAGTTATATACATATCACTCAATAGAGACTCAGTTCTAAGTGGAAAGCCAAAGATATTCCAGATGAGTCAAAAGTAGAATTTGAAGAGTATTTATGAGCAAAACATTCTACTTTTTCAGCAGAAGATGTTAACACCTCAAATTGAATGAACAGAAGAGAGATAGAAGACTTACTCTTATTTAACACACTATTACAGAGCTGCCAGTAGTGTCATGAGAATCAAACTTGTTAGAATGAGGCACTGTATAGCCTCTATTAGCAAACAATAATTTAGTCTCTTTGAGGACATGTTTACAATTATTATGAATAGACACAAATAGGCATCTGTTGTGATTGGAACTATCACACTGGAAAAGGTGATTTCTGTGGGCTATAGCAGTTGAATGGGCCATTGTGAACCATTGTGGCTTGACCTGGTAATTCCAAGAAAGTACAAAAGCATCAATGCCTGCTTTACCCCAAGAAGAAACCTCTTATCATTAAGAAGGTGAAGAATATCAATTCAAAGATCTCAAAGAATGTCACAAAGTGTATCCTAATCAGTACACTGTTAACAAAAAGATGTCTTCTGATTAGGAGGTTACGTTCTAATAGACAACTCAAATAAATATCAATAGATACTACAGTGTGTTCCAAATTGCCAAGAGGACAGACTTGTGATACTTAACAAGATCTAGAAGAAGAGGTAAGGAACAAATCAAATAAAGAAGCATATTGATCTGATTTATTAGGAAAACGAATAGGGAAATCTGCTATTTGATTAAGAAACTGAGCAATGGAAAAATTGAAAATCTGAATAATAGCAACATCAATAACATTAGAATGCTTAAGCCACTTGAGCATTAAAATCACCAAACACAAAAGTTTTGCAGATGAATGTAGAGAGAGAGAGAAACATTTCTATATTGTTAGAAATTTTGTCTAATATATTACTCTCCTGAGAAGGAAAGTGATAAAGGAAAAAGAGATAGCTAACAGAGTGCAATAATGAAAGTTGAAAGCACTTGAAAGGATCATCTAGGAACTCAAGTGATAATTTCTTTGTAATTGGAAAATTTTCTCAGATATAAACACTAAGGCTATGCATATGTATCCTAGAATGTTTTTGACAAAGTGGAAAATAACCAGGAACGGCTACTTCAATACTTATATAAATAACATACTTTGTTGGCAATAATAGTGATGATGACTATAAAAATGCACTGTTGATTATAATGCATGGACTATTGATTGCATCATATGATAATAATTGTAAGTAAAAATGATGCTCTAAAACAAGTAACCAAATAATCATTTTAAGTTCTCTAAATATTGGTGCCTTTTTCAAACCTTCTTTGTAATTTCAGATGTGAAATTAGTAGTTGTTTAGCAGATATTCATCATTTGATGCTGAGGAAATACAAGAGTATCCCCTGGGCAGGAGATATGTCTGCAACTATTTGCCTTCATACAGTGAAACATCTAGAAAAGAAGAAAGACAAAATAAAGATTTGTAAAGAAACTGTGACCAATTTACCTTATACACAGAGCATATTGATGGAACACATTCAGTGAGTGGGAACTTCTTTTTAATATTATGGTTATATATCTTTGCATCGCTTAATTGAAATTTTCTATTATTTTATGTTTTCTCTGGCACTTATCATTTCTAAGGCTGTAATCACTATTATTGTTGTCATTATCATTGTCTCTCAGTCTTATGACTGAAATTTTGCTAATTTTATCCTCTGTCTCTTCCCCATTATAAATCAATTGTGATATTTTAATTTTATCTTTCATAAGTATTGCTGATAACACGTGTTTTATTAAAGTAATCACAACCTTCCAAAGCACTTTAAGAAACTTGGTGACTGTAATATCCCAGCAACAGAAGGGAGATAACCCCTAGAGACACAAGAGTTAGCTCCCCTCCGGACATCCGGAATCTTAATCAGCAGCTTGGCAGCAAAAGGGGAATAGGAGGCTACCATCACCGGAGGGACAATCAACAATCATCCTAAAATCCTAGCAAGGCATTAATTGACGCCTAGCAAGCATCGATAGCCTCTTGCACAGAACATTACATTGGCGACGAGGACTGAGTCGTTACCCTCACAAAAACAGAACATCAACACACTTAAAAAAAAAAAATTCAACACGTGTTCGATATATAACCAATATGGCCGCCGTTCCACACTACCCCGAATTTGACTGTGAGTCAACAGCCAAAGCAGCAACATGGACAAAATACATAAAAAGACTGAAAAACTATTTTGTCGCACATAACATTGAGGATGACAAACGGCAAAAAGCAATCCTTCTAACGTTTGTCGGCGAGGCTACGAATGACATCATCGACGAGATACCACAGGAGCGAGTCACACCAGAAAAAAATGAAACACATTTCGACAAGCTTGTCTCAGAGGTGCACAGCCACTTCAACCCGGAAAACGACACGGAATACAGCCAATTTGTGTTCCGGAAAATTAAACAAAATAGCCCAGGCATCGAAGAATTCTACCGCAAACTAAAGGAAGCTGCGTCTATGTGCCGTTTTTCCGACATCGATTCCGAGGTGAAGTCCCAACTAATTACAGGCTGCCTGTCGGAAAAAGTCCACCAGAAGGGACTCATGAACTCGGATATGTCACTACATGACTTAATAAACTACGCAAGGACAACGGAGACGATAGCGTCGCACCTACAAACAATGCGACTGGAAGACAACAACACCGGTACTGCTACAACCGTCCCAATAAACAAAGTCGCGGACGAACAGCGCCGACCAAGCAACTATCCCCGGCAATATCGGTGCAGGAATTGCAACGGAAAATACCCTCATGAGCGGGGACCGACGTCTTGCCCAGCATTTCATACCCAGTGCACATATTGTAAAAGGTGGGGACACTTCACCTCTGCCTGTTTCAGAAGATTAAACGACGGAAACAGACAACGGGAAACAAATCGTCCCCCACAAACACAGACCAATTGACGCTCAGTGAACCGCATTGAAAACGACCAACGGAACCCACGTAGCAGTGGTAGTGATACAGAATACGTGTTCCACACAGCTGGAGCTCAGAACTTGCCACCTCCAATTGAAATGGATACTCCAGCAAACAGGAGTTCATCTTTATTTTGGGGGCTTCCTAACCAAATAAAAGAGCAACTTGATGAACAATCACAAACTCTCCACAAAATCAATTCCACAGTCCAGAAACTTGAAGCTGAAAACGCTCTTTATAAACAAGAATTGATGACTGCCCACACCAATATTCACCAGTTATCATCTCTTTTGGATAACGAACGACGAAAATCCCATTTGTCTTTGGAGAGACACTTCATCCAAATGCAAGAAATGCTATGCACAGAAATGAAGAGAATGTCACATGAAATAAATGAATTGAAGCTTAAATGTTGTCAACAGAATTTTCCTGCCACTCCTTCATCAACTTATCCACAAACTGCTTCTAGCAGTTTCTAACAAAGTAAGAGATTGTCACAAAATGCAATATATTTGCATCCTCAAAATGATGTTTATGAAGACGCTCTCAAGTTTTATCAAAAAGTTAAGAAACGTCCAACAACAGTTGCTTCAACAGATTTTCAAAATCCATTGTACTCCTCTTCAAATGTCCAACAGATGTCAACAAAATGTAAGTCAGCACCTTGTCCACAACCGTCTGTGCCAGAGCCACAAGTCATGTCTCCCCTCAACTCCATCCAGAAAATGCTACAACTTAGACAGTCACGCAAGCAAATTCATAACAAAACCTCTAGAACTGATGCCAGCCGTTCGAAAATGTCCAACACTTCATCTGACCAAGACCTTGATTCTTCCCCAAACCAGAACATAACTATTTCTTCCACTCAGAATCTCACATTGCAGGGTGATGAAGAAGATCTTCATTCTGATGATTCCAATTTTGATTTGCTTGATTCTCGCAGCTTTGGAAAGTCTGAAGATGGCTTGGAAAGTAGCTCATCCGAAGATTTGGCTTTAGAATGGCTGTGGCCGGACCCTCCCAAAAAAAATCCTCTACAGAAGAGAGATAACCCCTAGAGACACAAGAGTTAGCTCCCCTCCGGACATCCGGAATCTTAATCAGCAGCTTGGCAGCAAAAGGGGAATAGGAGGCTACCATCACCGGAGGGACAATCAACAATCATCCTAAAATCCTAGCAAGGCATTAATCGACGCCTAGCAAGCATCGATAGCCTCTTGCGCAGAACATTACAGTGACAATGTGTAATTTTTTAAAAAATCAGAACTGGCACACACACACACACATACATGCAAGTGCAAATTTATTGCAAATTACAGTCAAATTATGATATTTATATCTTGTATTACTACTTTTTTTTCTCAGATGATCATTTTAAACATATATCATTTTATGATATTTTTATCTAAATATGATAAAGAAATAAGGATATATGATTTAAATAAATTCATGGTTTAGTGTTGCAATTGTTTAATAATGTGAATACTAGAGAAATGATAAAAATATTTCAGCAAGACAAATGTTCAGCTTTTATTTGTTTTCTTTTTGTCATTGAACAAAGAAAAGCTTTTTGAAAACCTTAAATAAATCTCTTCTTATCTTCAATAGATAATTATTAATTTGTTGATATTGTCTAAAGTTGCTTTTAACCAAAATGTATAATAATTAAGTACGCATTATTACACTTTGTAAAAAAAATGTAAATACATAGAGATTGGAGTTGGCCTAATGATTATTTTGAAAAATGGAATTTGAAAATTCAGCTCAAATCCAACTGAAGCTTTATATATTCATACTCATCTTTAGAAAAGGCATACATCTACTTTTCCCTGAGTTCAGTCTCCTTACTAGTTATTTAGACATAATGTCTCATCACTGAGAAGAGCATGGATGAATGAGTATTTGAACAAAGCACATGCTTTCATCTGCTCAAGCATTAAATGCAAAATCTAGTATCCCTATATTCGGCTTTGTTAGAGTATAGTGATACTTAGGCATAACATTACATAAATGTTTTTCATTCTATATTAGATTTCCGAGAAAGCCTCATTTATTAAAGAGAGATAATTATTTTGTGATGCATTAGAAATTATTTTCTTTTTTAAATGTTTTTGTTTCAATTCAAATATACAGTTTTCTTACTTTTAATAATTTTTTTGTCATTTTCTGATCTTTGTTTTTTTTACAGGATGCAGCAAGAAAGTGCAGCCATATTGGGTAAATCCCATATTACACTGTCTATGCAGGAATATGAACAACTGCTTCATTGTTTTCATTATTTATTCAGCAAGAAAATAAAACAGAAGGAAGAGAAAATTGTCAAAATTAAGTAAGCATAATATTGAAAATGACAAGATTAATTTATGTTGTGTTTTGTGTTGTTTTATTGCAATTACTTCACAGCCTTTTTATCCCTTTAGAATTAAGTGATATTAATCCTCAACATGGATTATGAGAAGAAATTGCTTGTGAATAGAAATTATAATGAAGATCACAATCAATATCAAGACATTGCTTTGATAACAATAAACAAGTTTAACAAATAGTGCATAAAATGGAACAACTATTTATGTACTGAGTTGATAGTACATAAGTGGGTGTGTATGTTAGTCATCAGTTGGTTAAACTTGTGCAACAAGCAGGGAGATAATATATTAATGAATGGGTGGATAAAAATTTGCATGGAAAGATGAAAAAGAAAAGAAACATTGAAATGGATTAACAAATGACAAAGCCTTGTATGAACTAATCTAAATTTTACTATTGAACACAATTGTCAATGGTAAATTGTAAAGATTTTGGTGGATAAAATTAATTTCTTAGTAGAAGACAACTTGAGTAAATGTCTTAGGAAAATAAATCTGAATAAGGTTCATGGAAAATAGTTAAAAAAGAAACCATTAATGTATATTTTTGTGGGTTCAATTAAAAGTGATTGAGGAGAATGGAGATCAAGCAACAACAAGGCACACCATAAAAAAATAATGAGACATACTCAATGAGATATAAAACCAAATTGATTTTATTGAAATAAAATAAAAGCAAATTTTACTAAATATTAGGGATGCACAAATTTGGTGGTTTGAGTGCCCAAAAAAGGAAGTAATAAATTCCTGGACAAGTAAGTTAGTTTTTCTAAAAGAACCAATGGTAGTTGTTGGAAAAAGATCAAGTTTACAATCAAAATCAATCAAATAACATAAAATATCCCAAGAAAAATACTAACATATACAAAACAATGCAAATTACAAGGAAGAAAGTACAATAAAAGGGTTTCAGTGAGGTCAAACCCAGTTAAAAGGGCATATTTACCTCGAAGGTATAAAATGTGAAGGTTCTTAATAGTTCTTGTGATTTGATATGAGTTGTTGAAGTTTGTGACAGAATCTGTTTGTGCCTTCTGAGTTCAGTGTCTTCAACAGTTGAGGATTGTTTTTAGAACAGTATTTGTTCTCTGTTTTTTTTATAGCTAAAGGTCGGTTCCAATTCAGCCAACAAATTTTGGTGGTCAACACAAGTATTTCAGATTTCAACCAGCTCAATAGCCATTGGTTAAAAATTCACATTTATCAAAACAATTTATTGTTGTAGAAAAATCACTTCTGTTTATCTTTCCCTTTCCTTCACTTTCAATTGACCCCCTCCCTTCCACTTCTTGATCAAGGATCTTTGCACATAGGCTGGCAAGTTTCAGTTTTCAGTAAATTACTTTATTACTTTTATCCCTTCCCCCCAAACTACCAAAAGCCAAAATCTATTCAATGATAACAAATAATTTTTAACAATAAATTTGGTTATGGTATATTTAAATTAAACTCATAGCAAGAAATAGTTAAATATTAAGCTTTCTATAGGAAAAACTTGATTAAAATGTGTGAGTTTGTATTATCATTATTTATTATATATAGGCAGATATTGTAAGATTACAGATTGATATGTGTGCAATATTAGATAACACAGTGAATTATTATGAACATAAAATTTTATGAACTTCATATATAGTTTTTATATCCAACATTATTTGAACACTTAAACCTCATCTTTATATTTCTGCTGTTGTCATCAAAATGTTTTAGCTGATTTATTCTTCAGTTTTCATTAGGTATAAATCTATGAAACTTATAGAACAACCTGTCAATTAATTCCTCATCAAAATATCCACCAGACCAGTATATTTTTACAATGACAGGTGTATCAAGTGTCCAGGTGATTCCAAACCACACTAAGGTGGAGAGCTCTCCAACACCAACTTAGTTAAAAAAAATAAACTACAATGTTGAATTCTGTGCTATCCCAATTTGTGCATTCTGTCAACAGATCAATATATACTGCCTCTTTTATCTTCCTTACTTCTCAAACATGGTATCTGTCAATTATCTGGAATTTAACCCAGGGAAGGTGATGTGTACTCCTCTACCTTCAGATATGCTCTACTATATTAGATTTTCCTATGGTTTAATAGTCTAGTGGACTCAAGTATTGGTTTGTGAATTTGGTGACATAGTAATTGTGAGTTCAGTCTGTGGACCAGGCAGTGTGTACTTGGACTCAGTCCAATCAATAACTGAGCAGTACTAAAAATAGGAACTAAATGACATATTCCTAAACATGTGCAGTGGAACAAGAAACTCTATTCCCATAGATTAAATAGAGGATTGAGTTCAGAATTTCCTGTCAGTTACATGGATCAACATACACTTGAGGGATACTGGAGGGCACAATGATCAAAATGCTGTGATAGCAATAACAAAGATGAATGACAATAGTCTGAATGTAAATAGTGTAAATAGATTTTTCCACTCCCCACATTTACAAGGAATATTACAAGGTGCTGAAAAGTTCTCAGTCCAAACTATTTCCCAAAATCTGACCAAACATACCAAGCTTAAAACATAGCTTCAATTCAGATTCACAGAATTAGATTAAAAAAACTCTGTGTAAATCACTAGGTACAGAGTAGAATGTATAGCTAAGCTTTCTTTTTGACAATAGATATTAGGTTTAAATTGAAGATATGTTATGCTAACACAAAGCAGTATATGTTGAACTGTCAACCAAGTGCATCAGTTGGGACAGCATGAAATTTAACACTGGTTTTCTTTGCTTAGCAAAGTGGGTGTTGGAAGATTTCCTCCACTAAGTATAATTTGAACTCATCTGGACACTTGTTGCTATAAAATGGATCAGTCTGGTGGATTTGTTAATGAATAATTTCTTTGTTGGTTGCCTTATGAAGTTTCTTATTTGTCATAATTGCTAGAAGTTTCCTTTTGTATATGTTTTTGGATTTTACTGAACCAAAACAGACCTACTCAAAGGTATTGTTTTTGTAAAACTGAAGACAAACTACTTGGCTACTTCTTATTTTTTGGTGTAAACATGCCAGGCCTTGTTTGAAATGCCTAAAAAGACTAGTAGCTGCCCAAGACAATTGATAAAAGCTGGTTTCATTAAGAAACAGTTAAGTTCAAAATATCGCTCAGTTTGATAGGGTGAATTTCTTACTGATTGATTTGCCTGAGCTATCTTGGTGTTTGATTGATTTTCAAGTCATCTGAAGTGTTTTTATAAATATATTTCATTTCATGAAATCATGGGAAAAAAAATTGAATTTGTATATGGATCAATTGAAAATAGACTGCAGGATATTGGTCATGAAAGTTGACATCTGCTTAGAAGTGTGTAACAACATAACCTGACAAAATAACATTTTACTTCTCACCTCAGCAGTGAAATTGTAAATTAATTGGAATGCCCTTAAAGATAATGTGATATTTTGGTGGTTTCAGTAAGAAAGATTCCAGTATAAAAACAATGTACAGGTATGACAAAGTGGAAAAAGCTATTCAACTACAGATTTCACCCCTTATAGTAGGCGTTCTCAGGCTGGAGTGTTAGACAAACTTCTGGCTGAGGAAAGGATGTTGGAATTTGCGGAAGAGGTAATAAGGATCCTAGAGAGTTGATGTATTAGGGACAATAAAGATTGTTTTGGCTGGTAAATGTGCCTAGCTAAGTGATCAAGTCTTTCTTATTCCCTCTATTTCTTTGGCTTTGTGCTATACTTTTTTGTAATCTATACACAAATAACCTTAGAAGATTCTTTCTTTTTTTGTCTTGATGAAGAGGTTTGCTTATGGCCATGAAACACGAATTTTCATCCGATCAATGACTGTTAGTACACAGATTGCTAATGAATACCAGGTGCCATAAGCTATGCAACAGGCCTAGCAAACTGATGATAGATACAATCTTGCTACGTACTAATAGAAGACCTCAATATGTGAAGGTTTTTCTGAACTGATAGGTTGCATATAAAAATTTTATTCCCTACTAAATCTAAGTTCTTGTGTCTAACACAAAAACCTAGCTAGTAAGAATAGCAAGTCATAATAGGTGCAAATTACAAAATAAGACTCAATCACTACATAAAACTTTAAAGGAAAAACATTTATTACACAAGTAAAGACAAAAAAGGTACAAATACAAAATTTGCACTTATTATGGCAGGATAACAAATTTCCGATAAAAAGGATTACCATCAAAAAATGATAAAAATTACAGTTTTGGAAAAGACAAGGATTTTGAAAAAAGACAAAACAATACAAGAAGACTAATAAACAAAGGCGCAACTACCTTTGAGAAAAACAGAAACACTGTCTTTTACTTGTCCCACAAGTGTCTCTGGGACATATAGTAATTTTTAAAAAATCCCTTTTAAATTCAGAGTTTGTGCTTGGGAAAATTTCTTTAAATACTTTTTCATTCTTTGTTGCTCAACCAGAGGAGAATCTTCACTTGAACTTCAAAATTCTTTAGTCCCTCTGCAGCTGGCTGATGATGCCTTCTTGATGTCAAAAGCCTTCTGCTCCTTGATGTTGATTTGCCTTGTCCCCTTGCTGTCAAAAAGTTTGTGTCCCACATCTGCTGAACTGAGCTCTATATATTTGGAAAATTAGGCTCACAATGCCCCCCCCGCCCCCATTCAGGTTGTTACTAGGATTTGAGACCATATCTCTCACTGGTCAGTTATATATGAAAAAATAATTTTCCATAAATTGGAAATGGATCCTTCACAAATTTTGGTGGGTTTTAACCACTGAGCTGAAAGATATACAAGAGTAACAATTTTTTACACAAACTGTCTGGTCTTTATTCTCTCAAAAGAATGTATATTAAAAAAAACAACCAAGACAATTAAATATTTATTCAATGCTAACATTTTTAAAATAGTAAAAACAAAATTTATATATACAAGCCCTACCTGGAGTTGATAAAGGAGGCTGAAGAATGGAACAGACAAAGCATTGTAATGACAGCAGCAAAAATATTGGGTGTGTTAATGTTTTGTGGCAAACATTTGTCAGTACAGGTGTAAAAGAGTCCTTAGATCACATGCAGACATGTTTGTCAACACCAGTTACATCTGGGGTTTTTCCTGTCAGCAGCAGGATAAGTTTGGCATGTCTAGATACAGGCCTCTCTGCAACTTGTCAAGGTCTGGGTCTTTAAACAGGGGGAAAAAACAGCAGTTGCAAAGACGGTTCCATGGGCATTTCTGTTCCTCAAGTTGCTGTGGTTTCCGAGGCAGTGTTATTTTTTTGTTACCTCCTATCTCTTTCCCCTCTCTCCCTATTATCCCCTTAGTTGCCAGGACAGCAATTGGTAAGGTGTTTACTCCTAATCTCAACATACTCTTGGCTTACATTACTACATGTTTCTTCTCAAAGGTGTAGGTATATATACTTTTTTAAAAATGTTTTATTTAGCTTTACTTCATGTTTTCATTTTAATGCCTGATTAATCTGGGTTTTTTTTCTTCTAATAAGGCATGCACATGAAAATTGTATTTAAGTGGCTTTTGTTATACTCTGCTTCAAATTAGATCTCTTTCTGATTCACTCTACATGTTGGCCAGATGTGAACACTAAGAAAGCAAAAATAAAAATAAAGTTTCTCTCTGCACAAAGGATACAAGCATCACATCTGGCTCACAAAACAAATCCACTAATAAAAAATGCAATATAAAAGGAGCCAATCACAAACATTGCTGCCAAAGCAAAAACATAAAAAAATGATGAGTTATGATCTATCACAGCTGCTTTTAAGAGCACTGCTCACAATACTGTAGACAATCACCGTGAACAGGCAAGTTGTCAATGTTACCACTAGTGACCTTGGTCAACCAACCCAAAACACGCATCAACGCCATTCCTCACCAACTATCCCCTTCCACTAAGTTACTTCCCATTTCTATTGTCTTCTTTGCTTTTCACCTTACTGGTGGTGCTTGTTGTTTTGTTTGTTCTGTCATTCTACCATACACATGTTTATAACAGTTTGCAGTAATTATTGTATAGAAATGATTTCCCATGAATTTAGAAGATCTTTCAACAATTGAATTCTGTATAATCATTATTTAAATTTTGATAAAATTACAACTTTCAGTTTGAATACAAGAAAATTTGTATTTGACAATTCTTTGCTTTAATTTCTTCCTCTTGACTGTAATTTAGACTATATTTAATTAGGTTCTTTAAATAAAATATCTGGTTTTGATTACTCGTATGCAAATGGTTATGTTTATTATAAAGTTCAATAAGTAAAAAGAATGTTGTCAATGAAATGTTTACTTTTAATTTTTGGTTTTTACTATAATTTTGGCCAGTGTTTTTCCAAACATTTTGGAACATTTCCCAAAGACTTTTGCAATATATGAATCATTTAATTTTCAATTGTTATTATTTGTTCATCTTACAGGAAATCTTTGGTTAAACTTGATGAAACCAGGAAAATGTTGTCTGAAATGAAAGAGACTGTGAAAGATATAACATTAGAATATGAAGAAGCAAAGAGCAAGGCCGGGTCTTTGTTGTCTGTAATCACCAAGAAAGCTACAAAGCTGCAGACATTAAAAGCAAAGATTGGAATAAATTCAGCTATTCAAGCCATCTTGGAAATTAATGAAATTAACAGTAATTTTGATGAAAATTACACAGAAGATGACAATCTTCTTAAAATAGGTGCAGTACATTCATTTTTTTTTGTGTTAGCTTCTTTTAAATGTGTGTATTTTTTATTATAAAATTATCCCCATTCTCACCAAATGGTCTGCACACACACACTCTCGCTCTCTCCTTATACATATATATATATATATATATATATATATATAGGCAGTATATCTTCATTCAACCATATTTAATTGAATAATATAGACATATTACGTTTGTTTATTTTGAGAATAATCCTTTCTCGTTCTCTAATTAGCTTCTTGATTTCAAGTTGAAATTCATCAAGGAAGACACTATAGTTTTTGTTAACCCAAGTACTTTTGATCTCCTTCAAGATGAATTCTGAAAACAAACTTAATATAACTATGATTGTTGTGATTTTGATATTTGTAAACATGTGTGGAAGCACTCTGTTATAATTATTTTAAAATTTTAAATTTATCCATTGTAGCTATGCTGTTTTTGTAAACAAGCGTCCACAATGTAAGGGAGCTAACCAGAGATGGTAAAAAATAATTATAACAGAGCACATTCACAAGAATCACCATCACAATGATCAGTTACTTGAAGTTTGTCTTCGCAATTCACCCCTGAGGATGATCTCAGAGGAGATTGAAAGTACTTGGGTTAGCAAAATCTATGGCACCTTTGTTGATGAATTTCAACTTAACATCAAGAAGCTAATTAGAGAACTAGAAAGGATTATTATAAAAATAAACAGACATAATATGTCTATATTATTCAATTAAACATGCTTGAATATATATATAGAGAGATTTTTATGTTCTTTTTCTTGTGCTTATAAGAGTGCCTCATTTTAAATACTATTAAAAGAGTCTTTTAATATGCATAAAAATAACATTTTTTTATTATTTACTCATTAACAGTCTGTTTCAGACAGGATAATTTTTAACATGAGTGCTTTTTCCCTTATCTAGAACTATCACTGACCTTGAGTTATAAGAGGTCAAATTAAACTTCCAAATCTCTGATGGCTTATTTGTTTTGGTTTTGTGATTTCAAGAGAATATGGCAATAAAAGAGTTAATTTTTGATAAGCTGACTGTCATAACATGCTAGAAAATATTGATTCATTCTCCTCTGTGACATTTTATTTCAGATGACTATGATGAATTTGATAGGGAATTTGACCGAATTCGAGAAGAGAATGTAATCCAAAGTAAAAAGAAAGTTGAAGAGAATCTGGCCTCAGCCAGAAAAATGTACAGTCTGAAGAAAAAATGTGTTAAAAAATCAAGAGAACAGGTAAATTATTTTTATTTTCTAATCCAAAATAGTTTATGTGCAAAAATGCTTTAATGTCTAAAAATTATTTATAAATAGTTTGAAAAGAAAAAAATTTAATTTGTTAAAAAATGTATGTTAGATACCTTTATCAGTAATTTATAATCTAGAATAATTTAAGAAAATCTTTTTCTATCTTAATAGTACATAGAACAAAATCGTTTTGGTAGGAATTTAACATTTTCTTTTCCAATACAGCAAAAATGTTTTAAAACTTTAAAATGTCCTGCTTAAAAAATAATACACAACTTCTGTTGTGCTTCTAAAGTTTCAGTTTTCTTAAACAGATTCTTTTTAATGAGATGGAAGTCAAATGTTTGGCAACTAAACTGCCTCCCCAATTTATTGTGCATGTGGTGGATGGTTAACAATCCTTTAGGATGAAAAATAAGACCTATCAGAGGCAGAAGAACTCTTGATAAATCAATAGCCAGCTAACTAGTGATTGTATCTCAATAAAATCACCACGGAGAAGGTAACCATTCCACTATCAATCCCAAGAACATTCATGGCTCTCAACACTATTATTATCAGAGATAATGAAGTTAAGTGTGAAGGGAGTTAAGTCCATTAGAATTAACATTTTGCCTGGTAAGGAAAGACATTAATGACAGGTGCCACCTGATCATCATCCAGTAACTGTTTGCATCAAACAAAAATAGTTTTAGGGACATGGAACATCAGAACACTAAATCAATGTTACCAGTTAAAAAATATAAAGCAAGAAATGAATAGGTTAAATCTTAATATTTCAGGCATATGTGTAACAAGCTGGACAAACAATGGAAATTTCATCAGTGACAGACAGAGGGTCATATATGCAGGTGGAGAAAAATGAAAGGGGAGTAGGACTGATATTAGACCAAGACCTGAAGAAATATGTTCTGGGATAAAATGAACTAAATCAGAATAAAAATTCAAAGTGGGACACATGAAGTGAAGCTTTAGTGACATCATCAAACGAGATCATCCCAAAGAAAACAAGACAAGGAAAAAAGGAATGGATGATAGATGAAATTCTTGTCATGATGAAAAGGAGACAGCAAACAATGCCAAGGTATGGTACAGAATATAGAATATTGCACAAAGAAATTAGAAACAAATGCAGGTAATGAAATGTGTGCTGAAATAGAATGAACAACACAAATGAGGCAGACATGCATAAAAAATAAGATAAATAAGAGAACAAAAGACATGCTCGTCAACAGAATGCATAAAATCAAAAGAGGGAACACTGAAAACGAAAAAGTACTTGAAAGGTGAAATAAATACATTGGAGAATTCTTCAACAAAGGAAGAGGAAAATCTGCAATACGCAAAAATATGGAAGCGCCAGAAATATTATTCTGAAGTGAAATCAACACTGGCCAAGTTGAAGAGTAACAAAGTAGTAATAGAGATAGAGTAGTAATAGAGATGCTGGCAGCTATAGATAATTTTATCATTGAGAAAATTACAAACATAAATGAAATATACAACAGTGGTGATATATTAAAAGACCTAAATAGATGCATTTTTATAGCACTGTATAAGAAACCAAGTGCAAAAATATGTGAAAATCAGCCTAATGAGCCATATAAAAAAACTTATGATCAGAATTATGAATAGTGTGTAGCAAAATTAGATGGGAAATAGGACAAGAACAGTGTGGTTTTGTTAAATACATTGGAACAAGGAATGTGATATTTAGGCTCAGAATGGTATCTGAAAGAGAAATGCAAAAGCATGAATACCTATGTTTTATAGATTGTGCAAAAGCATTTAATAAAGTACATCACAAATAACTGTTTGAAAAGATAGAATAGTTCAGAACTTATACTGGCATCAAATTGCCTGCATATGGTTAGAAAATGAATTTCACTAAATACAGAAAAATAGAAAGGGACATAAGACAAGGATATGTCTTCTTACTGGACTTATTCAACCTTTACAGTAAGGTGATCCTGAGAGAATTAGAAATCCTATCAGAATTTATTTTATTGGCAACCACAATCTTCTTAACAACATAAGATATGCAGATGACATAGTGTTAATTGTAAATGCTAAAAGGAAATTACCTGTACTCCTACAGAAGGTAGTAAAGGCTAGTTATAAAAAATAGTTAAACACCAATTGTAAGAAAACAGAATGCAATGGTTGTCAGCAAAAGGAACAACCAAAGATGCAAACTATGAATTGAATGCACCAAAATCCAGCAAGTAAAAAAATCTAAATATCTAGGAAGTGTTTTATCAGAGGATGGGAAATGCAACACCGATATCAGAAGTTGCTTTGGAATAGTGAAAGATACCTTCCAAAAGCTAAGCAAAGTATTAATAAATCAAAAAATGTTATTAGAAACAAAGTTTACTGAACTGTTATGTAATATCAGTACTATATGGCAGTGAATGCTGGACAATCTCCTCACAGATGAAGAAGAGACTTGAGGCAGTAGAAATGTGGTTCTAAAGATGGAATGAATGAGCAATGACAAAATTTTAGGAAAAATGGAAACAAAAAGGAGACTTATACTTAAAATCAGAAAAAGACTGTTGAAATTTCTGGGACACATAATGAGGAAAGATTGCTTAGAAAATTTGATACTCACATGCCATATTGAAGGCAAGAGGGACAGAGGAAAGCAACCCATAACCTAGCTAACAAGCTTGTGTAAATGGTTGGCAGAACAGAGATTAGGAGAGAGTAAAAAAAAAAGAAAAACAAACTTTACTAAGAGCTTGTGGAAAGTCATGATTACCCATGTCCTGAAGGGTCATATCACATGGAAGAATCACTAATAGTTAAAGAAAATATTTCTTGATTGATATTGAAAACTGACATACAAACTTCTTTTTTTATATGCTATGTCCTTTTAGGATGTAGGTGATCAGGGCTCTCCATAACTTCCTATCCTTCATAGATCTAAATAACATTTGTTGCCTCAATATCCTTCCCAATCTCTATTCTGCCAACCATTTACACAAGCTTGTTAGGTTGGCTACACACTGTTTTCCTATACCCTTCTTGCCTTCAATATGTCCTGTGAGTATCAAATAATATACAAACACATTCTAATAAAATCAATACAAGTCAATGTGTTAGGTGTTTATTTTTATATTTTGAAACAAATAAGAAAAATAATTTGTATTTATTTGATCTATATTGTAGGTTTATTTTTGGCGGCACAAGATTGACCGAAATTGCATTGAAAGTATCAAGGGGTTTGTTAAACCTCCGTCTTTGGTATTACACATAGCAGACATGATGATGATACTTACTGGTAGACATAATCCTCTAAGTGGACTCAATGTTTCAGCAAATGACGTGTTGTCAATCAGGGATACTCCAGTCAGTTCAGCTGACAGCATCAGTAGTCAAAAAGGACAAAGTAAAAGAAGTAAGAAAAATGAATATTAATTTTGCTAATTACACTGTGTATCAAAATTTTTACTTTTTTGTGTCTTTGGTCAGTAAGTATTATTTCCTAACTGCTTTTCTAGAAAGCTAAGTAAATGACTGTCATTCCCTTCAAACTTTGCTTTAGTGACCTGGACATCATTGTTTTGAAATTTACCTATTTTCCACTACATTCCAGACAGATTCAGTGCTGAAGGAGAATTTTCTAGAATTTTCAAGAACTTTCTAAGAGTTTCAAGAATTTCTAGAATGTTTGGATTGATTCGTGGAAGTAATTTACAGTATAAGCATAAGTCATAAAAAACTACTCACTTCTAAATGTCTGTGTTCTCTCTTGTGTAATCCTAGAATAAATTAATGCTACTTTTGAATCATATGTCGTTTTGTTCCTAATATGCGTGAATGAGAATGTTTGCATTCATCAATTTTCACAATGGGAATAGGTAAATTTTAGAAATATCATTATATTGGTCACAAAAGCAAAATTTGAAGGAAATATAAGCCATTTTTCATAATTTCTAGGAATAAGCAAATAGGAAATAGCAATTACTAATCATGTTATACAGTGCTATTGATTCAAAGTAAGTAAAAAAAAAAATACTACTTTTAGTAAAATCATCTCTGGAGATGATATTGTCACTTAATATTTCCATTTACAACTCATAAGGTACAATACTAACCAAGAAAAGATATTACCAACATTTCTGCAGATTGCATTAACATTTCAATTTATTACTTACATACACTGTCATTTTTATTAAAGAATAACTATTGTTTTTCATGATTTATAAATTTAGTTTAATACTGAATTGTTGTATTGATTTAAAAAAACAACTTTCTGTTGTTGAAAATTTAGAATTTCTCATTGTATAAAGTTGGTTTGGATTAATTTAGTTGTCTAAGTCATTTTATTTTTTTCAGAAAATTTCAGCCATGTTCTACTTGGTCTTCTTTGAATGTCTGCTGTGTTCTGTAATTTCATCAAATCTTTTTTTTTTTTTATTAGGCTGCATGTACATTCTCTCTCATACAAGTCTCAATTATGTTTTCTTTCTAATGTCTCCTGACATCTTCACTGGACTTATGACAGTAGATCTTTAAATATTAAATATGTCCCTGTCTCTTGGTCATGTCTCTAGTATCCTAATTTCATTGTTTTTTTTTCTTTCTGTATTAATGGTTCCCAAAACCTATAAACAATCTTTTGATTGAATTATCTGAGCATAGTATATAAGCAGAATCTTTTGATCTTCTTTTACTCTAATCATTGTTGAATATTAATGCTTTATTTCATAAATGTTTTGACAAAAACAAGCAACAAAGATGAGCAAATTTGTCCAAGCCAACTACATACAAGGATTAAAATTCAAACAAAAACTAAAGGTTTTGTAGAATTTTAGTCCATTAAAAATAGTTTACTCTTTTGTTTCACCTCCATCTTAATTTTAAGAATTCTTTCCAAACTGGCTTAGTATAACCTACACTTTCAGCATTGATTGATGGAAACCATGATTGACAAAATATCGATATACAGGGTGAAGGCCTAGAAAAAACAGGAAATTTTAGATTTACTATATGATGAAAAAAATTAACTAACATATAAAATATAAAATTAACTATATATTTTACTCTATCAATGAACTAAAAAAATTAACTAACATATAAATTTTTTAACCATTTGTTGTTCCAGGATGCTGCAGTTATCAAATTTTCAGTGAGGTGATTGTTCTCTTTAAGAAAGAACATTCAACTTGGGGACTGAAAAAATGCCAATAAATTTTACCAGTTCTTTAGTTTGATAACTAAAAATCATTTTATTGATGTTGCAGCTGTACTTTGCTTTTATTTGAAATAACTGTAACAAAAATTACAACAATTAAATAAACTTTGCCAAATTTCATGTATTTTTGTGGGGCACCCTGTAGAATTAAACAGAAAATACATTTAATATCCGAGAAAAACACACATCTACCTAAAATAAATTCACTTGTAAGACATTAATGTTTCAGTATTCAGTAGCATTATAGATATATAACATTTTTATAATATGCAGATATTTTTTGTCAATTTGCTGATTGCTTAAAATGCTATTTCAAATTTTAACCTCCATTTCTGATATCCAATATGGATGATGGATATGATAATAATAGATGATCGATAGAATCATCACTTGCCAATATCTGTTAAGAGATCATATAAAAGTTGTCTTTATCCGACTGATTTGTTCTGTTGTCTTACAAATCACCAGAATTCAATAATTTCTAATAAACTGTCATTCATCTGGCAAAGATGTTACTTCTTAGCAATAACATAAATACAGATAAATAATCATAAATTGTTTTACTAAAAATTATATATTTATATCTATTCACTGAAGATTATGGATGACTTAATATCCTGTCATGAATGTTTAATTTCTTTTGACTTTTAAGAAATAATTATTCATCATTGCTATAATGACATCTTAGGATATATTAAATACATCAATAAGTTATGATTTTATTTAGAATAATCATTAAAGCAAATAACTGTCCCATAAGTTGTAAATAGAAATCTTAAAGGGATTAAATTGTGTTTTTGATCATTTGTTGATCTTTCATTAAAAGTTGCAAATATTATCTTATAAAAAGAAACTGTTGCTTACATATCAAATCAGTAAAGTTTTCCACAACTCTTATTGCCTGTTAATTGTTTCTATTTATATTTTTCAGGAACTGATCTTTCCTGGAAGACAATACAGCAGATTCTCAGTGAATCAAAAGATTTTACAGCTCTTCTTCACAATTTGCCTTTGGAAGAAGGTTTGAATCCATTAATGATGAAAAGTAAGAAGTATTGTAAACTTTGAATCTTTCTGTGTCATTAATGGGAAATGTAAACCTCTCTCTCTCTCTCTCTCTCTCTCTCTCTCTCTTTTTTGAAAACTTAGACTCCAATGAAAAGTGAGGATTGGCATTCAACCCTTTTTTAAATGGTCATTTTTTCAAGCTCAACATTAACTTATTTGAAATAGTATCTCTACTCTTCTATAGAAAGTAGCATTTCAGATTTTGAATTCTGCTTATTTTATTTATGTTTGATTTCATTTTAGTAATTAGAATATCAATAATTCATGAGAATTGTTTCTACAATTTTTTAAAGCAGTTTGCATATCTCTCATACTGGTAATATACTTTTTTAAATTTCATTTGTGCAGTTATAATTGTCAACTTTCATGATTTTAATTCACAGTTGTAAATCTTATAAAATAGAGAGAAGCCACAACTGTAAAGGTTTGGATTGGTTGAAAAATCAGACTGAATTTTACAAATATAAGAAGGAGTAAATTCAAAATTCAGCGTAAGAATTCTTAAAATTGATATCTTTAAATAATACTGTCAGACATTGCGGACCTCTCAAGGGTTTTAAATTCAAAATAGTACACAACATAATGGATAAAAAACTAAATTACAATTTATTCTAAAGATATTTATAATTAACTATAATTTAAGTTTAGAATTTGTTATTAAATAAAGACAAATCCTCTTTCTTGCTTTCAGCCCTTTCCACTTGTATCAGTTCAAAAGACATAGAAAGAAGTAGAAATGAAATAGAAAATAAAATACAAGGTTTGTAATTAAAATTGCATTTTTAATTCAAACACATACACATAAACATATATATATATATAAATTTATAACAATAGAAAATTGTCAAAAACAATGTGATTGCATATAGTGCTCAATGTAAAATATAAAACACAGAGAAATATACAGTATAAAAAAGATGCTTTATTTAACTTTTACTGTCTTTGTGACTTGCAGTTTCCTTAGCACATCACATTAAAAGAATAAAACCACACACTTTTAAAGGTTCTTTTTAAGCTTGAATCACTGATCCCCTCCCCTAAGACAAAAAAATGAAAATCAAATGAATGATATACATTATATTTGTATCTTATCCTTTAAATGTTTTTCATGCTTTTTTCTTTTTTTTTTTTGGTCTTTGAAGATGTAACTAATCAAAGCATTAGTAAAGCAACAGAAGAAGGAATAAGCATAGCGGCTGCAAAGCATGCAAGTGAAGATGCTGCCATTTTATTGCAATATATGTTGGCATTGCTGGTTTATTCTATGTTCTTTAAAGAACTAAAAGAAATTAAAGAAACAATTCAAGCATTGCAAGAACAAGTAGAAAAAAATGGAAAACAAAGGAAAGAGAAAGTAAGTAAATGTATTTTTATTATATATTTACAATTGTTCTACAAATGAAATAATGCTTATTAATTGTGCAATTATTTTCTACTTTTGATTTGATATCAATGTTTTTGGAGTAAGGGCAGCAAAACTATAATGGAATGACTTAACACTTTTCAAAAATAATTAAAAATAATTAGAATTTTAAAAATTTTATTGAGCTCATGTTACCAGCACTTGAGGATTAGTTTTCTTAAACATGGGATATTTTGATTTCTGTTTTGTTTTACTGAGTGATATCTGTATTGTATTCAACTCACATTATAATATGAACTTCACTGGTGGACTATTACCACTGCTGTTGCTCATTTTTATTTTGTTTCATCAATCTCTCATTCCCTGTGCTAGCACTACTAAAAACATATTATTTTTGGTGGTGTCACTCAACAGTGTTTTTGGTCTTCATGGCTATTGCATGTCAACATCATCCAGCTGGGAGGTAACCAGATTCTACCAGGATTTCACCCAGTGATTGTTGTAATTCTGCAAAGATTTCAGGTGTAAAATCCTTGAAGCTGTGGTAACTTCTTTGCTGAAAACAAATTTGAAGGTGCAAACCAACAAACTTTGTTGGTATCTAACAATGTGATTAATGATAAAAAATTGAAAAATTTTAAAGTATATAAGGAGTAAAGAATTATTAATCTTTCTGTATAGTCGGGTTGATAATGTTTCAGTAGGAAAATTCTTTTAGTAGTAATTCATAATAAGTGGAGATATTTATTATTTTTGATTCTCTTTCTATGGCTTATCAACCCCTTCAAGGTTCTTTAAAGCCAGAAAATATTTTTTGTTTGTAAGAATTTTTTTTTTTTTGAGATAATAGTTTAGTGAATCTAATCTTACTAATTAACACATAGCTAGGGAGTGAATATAACGAACCCAACAAGAATTGGAACTCAGCTCTCTGATTAACAATTCAAAGTCATTATCCATCTTGTAGCATACATATGGACGATAATGGGTCCCCATTCACTTAAATACAGTAGTAAATACTGTATCTTGTTCTGCAGTTGGAGGTTCATTGTGGAATTCACTTGACTCCCTTCTAGCAGTTGACTACTACTTCTACACGCCACTGACGAATCTTATATGTGTTGTTCATGGCCTAAGTGTTATCGTTCATTACCAACCTTTGTGTGATTATTCTATTCAGTAACCTTCCCTAAGTTACAACAATCCATTACACCACCTGCAGATCCAAGCTTACAGCACCTGGTATTCCCAAATGGTCACTCTAGGTACTGACCAGGCTCAATGTTGCTTAACTTCACTGATTGTATGGGAACTGGTGTTTCAATATGATAAGACTGTAAGCTGCTATAATAAATGGAGAGACCTCTTGTCTTTCATTGGTGATAGAAACCTGAACAGGAGGAGGAGGGAGGTTAAAACTGGACTTTGCCTATCTGGTCTCTCAGTCTGTGTATTGACTAGTAGAAAATTGATTGATTTGTATTTTTAATGACATATCAACTCCTTATGAGTCATTTAATGCTAAAATTTAATTTTCTTGGGAGCTTTGAAGTAATAAAAATATGATATAGGTTATTCTATTTTCACAATTGGAGACATAGTAGATAATGCTCAGCTTCTGTGCCTATACACATTTGTGTGGACATGATTACTAGAAGCAGTGATATGTGTGTTTTATGTTGAATTTTTGTTAAAGTTATATTTTGGAATACAGCTTGATTTTTTTAAGAAATTGTAGGATGTTATATGGATTAATGTCACAAAAGAGTTTTTTCATGTTGCTTGTTTGGTTGATTTTATTTAGCAGCATATCAACCTCTATGGGTTATTTAATGATGAAATCTAAATATTTTGAACACAATTGCATGCCTTCAACCACAGATAAAATGTTTTGTTGGTCATTTTACTACAAATAGGTATTGTTCATAACTTTTGAATATAAAAATGTATTGCTGGTATTTTTACTATAAGAATTTATTTTTATACTTTCATAGTGTTTTGTTTTTGTTTGGGAGCTAGGACCCTAACAGGTGCTACCACCCTGGGTCAGAGTAAACCTAGGAACAACAGCAATTTAGAGTTGGTTTCATGCTGCTCGATACCTCGAATCTCCCAATCATAGGCCTTGCTGCTCAATGTAGTTTATTTTCGTACCTAGGACTGGTAGTATAAGAAAATTTGATCATTTTTGGCATTGATTTATTTCATGTTTTTTTATAAGATACTCATGACCTTTCCTGTCTAAAAAGAGATAGCCTCTTGTGTAAAAACACAAGATCATTGCCAGACAAAAGAATACCTTACTGGAAACTTAAGAAAGCAAACTGGAAGAAATTCAAAAACACATGTGCCCTAAAACTCACACCAGATGCCAATGTAGACAATGCAGAACACATTACTTATTTTACAAAAATACTTCTTAATATTGCGGATCAATACGTACCAAAATCAAAATCTAAACCTGTCAAACACGGCAGAGCATGGTCTAGTAACGAGTGTAAAAATGTGATCAAATTGGGTTATGCAGCTCTACATAAGTTCAATTTACATCCAACCCATGAAAATCTGAACATCTACAAAATAAATAGAACTAAAACACACAGAATAATTAAAGAAACCAATCAATCCTCATGGAAGAACTTTGTATCCAATATTAATTCTAACATCAAAATCAAAACAGTATGGAATATGATCCATAAAATGGCTGGGAAAAAAAAAAGCACTCCATTGAGACATTTATGTCAAAGCAATATCAAAGAAGATATTGCAAATTTATTAGCACAAAATTTCTCTCAAAACTCCTCCTAGAATAATGTGAGTAAACTATTTCAGAACATCAAAATAAATCAAGAGAAGAAAAAATTAAATTTTTACTCTAACAAAAAAGAAAATTACAACCATCCTCTTAGTTTATCAGAATTAATAGATTCTATAAAAGAATCTCATAAAAATCAGCATTTGACCCAAATGAAATTCACTATCAATTTCTATAAAACCTACCAAATATTTCCCTGAATTACATACTCAAAATTTTCAATAAATATATGAGTCAGTGGTAATATTCACAGTTTCTGAAAATAAACTACCATAACTCCAATCACAAAACCTGGAAAGGACTTAAAAAAAAACCTTAAACTATTGTCCAATTGCACTTATGACTTTTGAAAAAGTCATTAATAATAGGTGTACTTCATTTCTTGAAGCTAATAACAAAATTACAAATTTCCAAACTGGTTTCAAAAAGTACAAAAGCACAATCAATCACCTGGTTTGACTGGAGTCTTTTATCAGAAATTCCTTCATTAAAAAAATGAACATTTAATAACAGTATCCTTTAACCAAGAAAAAGCATCATATCACATGGAAATATGGTATCATGAAAGATTTAAATGAAATGGGTCTTAAGGGAAGTTTACTAATTCTTATCAATAACTTCCTGACAAAATGAATTTTTAATGTTTGTGTCAGTACCCTACTTTCAGACCTATATAATGACAGAGAGAGAGAGTGCTTCATCAATATTCTGTAATCACGGACACACTGGCGTTGTCATGTAGTGCAAGATGCAAGAGCCAGGATGCCCCGCAGTGTTATACATATTGGAGAAGATGGGAAATAATTAGTTTTTCAGAATATAAAGGAACATTGTCTTATATGAATATACTCTTTAGTGTAAATATTTCTTAACCACTTAAAAAAAAGTCTTGTGCAAGAATTTATATTATCTGCAATTATCTTGATACATCATAAAACTTTCAAGGGAACTGTAATTTTACTTCCTAAAGTACTAGTCCCAAAACTTACTCTACCCACCTGCTGTTGTCATCTAAATAATGTTCGATGATTATTTCCATGAATGACCCAATGTGGAGGCCAGCCATCAGATCCATCCAATGTAGCTCTACAGTCATCACTAAAAATAACTACTGAGAAATCAGTTTTCAAGTACTTTTTTACCCAACTTATATGTTTCTCCTTGGGATGTTTACTTAAAGGTGGTAGTTTGTTGTTTTCAGGTTTTTAGTCAATGTTCTTTTTTTCTCTCTGTTTACATTTTCAACACCAGCTTATTCAAATATCTCCTTTGCTGGAGAATCCACTTTTCTTGTTAATTACTCTTTTTTTCAAATCTGTTTTTTGAGACACTTATTAAGCCAGTTTTTTGTTTTGTTTTTATCTTTTTAATGTTTTCAGTTTCTTTTCTTTTTTATTGTTCTTTGAACCCTGTTCAATTTTTTCTCAATTTCCAATTCTGTGTTCCTAACATTCAATAACTTTACAATATTTTATTCCTCTTTTTGCATAATGAAGTCTCACACTACCAAATAAATTATTGGAAATATTTCTAATAAAAACAGATATATCAGTTAAAATTTATCATATAATTATATTCTGAAAATGTTACCAATTTCACTTGATTAATACTAATTTTATTGTGAAAACATTATGTTTAATAATAATAATATGTAATATAGTGTAATAATATGGATTCATCTCTGTGTGTTACTCACATTAATGTGTGTATATTGTTTTTTTATCTAAAAAATAACCTACATTCTTTTGTTAACGGGGGTAAGGAATGGCTTGTTAATTTTAATGCCTCCAGAATGAAATTGCTCTCTTTTAATCATCTGAGAAAACCCTTCAGGTGTTCCATCAGCATGGCTGATGCTAACCTCCAGGAGATTGACTCACTGTTCCTTATCTTGATTAAGTTTTCCACTAACATGAAGTGGAAAGATTATATTGAATCAATTACTAGATCTGCTGCTAAGAATGTTGGCTCACTGTGATGTTAGACAGTTTTTCTTGCCCAAATCTATCTTATATAGTTATAAGTCTACCATTTGTCCTTGCTTTGAATATTGCTGCCTCATATGGCCTGGTGCTTCTGCTATATATTTAGAGATCCTTTGATAAAATTCAAAGAAGTATCTGCAATGTAGTTGTTACTGACCTGGCATCTTGGCTTCAGTTACTTTCCAACCACCATAATGTAGCTTCCCTGTGCATTTTTCTGTAAATAATTTCAGGGTAATTGTTTTGATGAACTTTCTTTTATGGCACCTAGTCTTTACAGTACTAGATTGGCAACAAGATTTCATCATTTTACAGTTGATATGGCTAGATCTAAATGTAAGTTCTGTGCTAAGAGTTTCTTTTATCACATTTCTTGCTATGGAACTCTCTTCCAATTTCTTGCTTTCCAGTCAACTTTGATCTTCATAAATTTAAATACAATATCAATTATCTTCTTGCATCTTAATTTCTGTTCTTCTATTGTTCTTGCTCCTTAATAATGTTTTTTCTTTTTCTCATAGTCTTTCAAACTCAAAAATTCTTTGTGTCTTAGTGATTTTATGGCTTTGCTTAGGGTAAAATAATTTAAAAAAAAAGGTATGTTTTCTCATTAAAACTTACAATTGGTTTTATTTCATATGGTCGTAAATAGAGGATTTTTTCATTTAATTTCATTGTACCACTGCAAACTATGACAATTTATTTCAGCTATCCAAGTTCAATATAAAATGTCAGTCCAGATTAAGTTCTAAATAGTTGTGTGAAAAACTGGAGATTTTCGTTTCTCATAATATGGATATGGGAAAATCAGAATATTTATATTTGCTTAAAATCTTATTCATGAATTTATTTGCAAACTGCAAATGTCTTTGTTGCAGTACAGAAGGTGATTATATCCCTTTGGTGGAGATAAGTCATGTGATGGCTGCTTAAAGATGTCACTCCATACAGTGACAAAAGCAGTAGCCAAATTCAGTTTGTTTTCAGCAGCTAAACCACAAGGTTGCTTTCTTTCTCTGCATGGGGCACATATGTATATATAGTTTTGTGTATGTCTTAGTTGTATAAAAGTCTCCTTGAGAACAAAGCTTGTTTGTCATTCCTTTTCCTTTCAATCATTCAATTCCGTCCATGAAGTACAGTGTTATTATACCACAGATATAATAATGCCCATAATAGGGGAAATACAAAAAGGGAGAATAAATCTTTCTTCCCTAGCTCTCTTCCATTACATCCTTATTCACATGAATTGATATTTTCCTAATTATAATCATTCTTATGATTAGGAAAATGAAACTGCTTCTATTCTGGAGGATGCTACAGATGAAGAACTTCAGGAAGAAGATTTGCCAATAGTTGAACAAGAACTTGAGTCTTTACAGAGAGAATATAGTTGTGCAGTGGAAAAGAAAGCCACCTTGGAAGGAAACTTACACAACAAAAATGAAAAGCTGCGGGCAACTAGCCAATTGCTAACAAGGTCAGTATTATTCAGAATTTCAATTTTTCTTCACATTTAATTACTTTTTACAAGTTTCAAAGGGAAAAATGCTTTTTCTTTAATATTTGCAGCTGATTGATATATTCACAAAAATATAAAACATATACAATTGCATTTGTAACAAAATATTTCTAACTGAAGCTTTGAAATAAGATTCCTTTGTTCTTATTATATGTTATTATATGATTTATCTTGAAGGATAAAACATCAAATGTCTACACCTACTATTGTTATATCAGGTTAATTTATTATATATTTACTAGCATAAATATGATTCTCTATGAACATAGGTGCTAGCCATATAAGAAAGCTGTAATAAAGATATATTTATTAACTAATTATACATCATAAATTTAGCATTATATTTACTGTTAATTAATCATAATTTGTTCTCTCTCTTTAATAATGTTTTCTTTTTCTTATATTCTCTCACACTATGTAACACCTTGTGTTTTAGTGGCTATATTGGCTTGCTTCGTGTGAAATGATAAAAAAATAAAATAAAAAAGTTTATGGTAATTAATAGCCACATGTATTGTTCTACTGCTTCTAATTTTCAAATAAAAATGGCTAGTCCTGGGTATGATGATAAACAACATCTGGCAGCATAGTTTCTGATCAGGAGATTGGAGGTCTTAATTGCTGTTGTTCCCAGGTCCACCCTGACCCAGGATGGTAGCTCCTGTTAGAGTCCCAGCTATAGGCAAATACTGAACCCCCAAACAGAAATCATCACTACATTCTTATAATAAAATGACCAGCAATACATTCTTATAATAAAATGACCAACAATACATTCTTATAATAAAATGACCATTAATACATTTTTATAACAAAATGACAATGCAGCACTAAAAAAATATAAAAATACATTTTTATAGTAAAATTACCAACAATATATTTTATGATCTATAAACTATATATCTAAAAAAACATACCTTTACTCTGAAAGTATAAAATTATGTAAGAAAATCTGTAGTTGTAAGCATAAAATTATATACAAAATATTTAGATTTCGGCATTAAATAACCCATAAAGGTTGATATACCACTAAACAAAATCAACCAAACAACTAGTGTGAGAGAACTCTTTAATGACATTATATAATATCCTACAATTTCTTAAAGAAATCAAACTGTATTCCAAAATATAACTTCAACAAAACTACAACATAAAACATACATATTACTGCCTCTAGTAATTATGTCCACACAAATGTGTATATGCATAAAAGTTAAGTATCATCTACCATGTATTCAATTGTGAAAGCAGAATAACATATATAATGTTTTTATTACTTCAAAGCTCCCAAGAAAATTAAATGTTGGCATTAAAGGAGTTGATAAGCCATTAAACATACAAACAAAAACAAACTAAAAATGGAAAGAGACTCTGTGGATTAAGGGAGATTGGTAAAACATTACAGCAGAGATTATATCTAAACTTAACCCCTTAACTTGAAAGAAACAATACAAATTAAAATAATTATATACAATGCTTTATAAATAAAGATTAGGTTCTGATTCCAACAAGTGAAACTTAAACAGATTAAATACAGGAAAATAATTCATTTTGCTTTATTGAAACTTGGTACATGTAATATTTTCTAGTATAAGCAAGAGAATATATGAAAAGACAAAAAGAAGCATTAGACAAAATTTCTTTTTGTACAAATTATTTAAAATATTTTTCATATTTTTATAACATATTTAAATAAAATTCCCTATAAGTGTTGCTTGTAGGCCAGTCCAATTGTGACCAGTATTAATGCATATGACTAATACAAATATTTGATTGTTGTTCAATTCAAATCTTTTATCAGATGTAATGTGAATGTGTGCACTGAATGTACAGAAAGTAAGTCTTTAAATAAAGTTTGCAACTTTTTAACAATAAAATAATGTGTTTCTTATCAAATTTTAAATTGTTGTCTGTAAGAGCAGATAAAAAATTCCAAAGAAGGAAATAGCAAAAGCTAGTTTTTTGTTCAAAGTGATAAGGTTTTCTACAAAAATTGTTGATTTATTGTAAGTTGAATTACAATTGTGGCATGAGGCCAAAGGGGAAGTGGGTTAGGCTGGTCTTCACTGACCATTCTAAGCCTAGCTAATCTGATTCCCAACCCATTTGTTCATTATAATTTGCTCAATCACCACAAGAATTCATTCATCTCCATTCATCTGACATTCATCACAATACTGCATATTCAAAAAAGGGTCCTACAAAAACACCCATGTCATAAAAATTTTACAATATATATAAATGACATTTTTGTAACTTTTTCTTTTTTTCTTATAAAATATATAAAATTATATAGCATGAAATGAGGTGGGTGGTTATGAACCTACTAATAAAAGTAAAACATTCAAACTAAAAATAAAATATGTTAGTAGGACACATCCATCCAAAAAAAAAAATAAAGAGTGGCTGCTGTATTCTGCTGTTAAGCAAAATCAAGATGCTCACTCACTAAGGGTGTGGGAAGGACAAAATAAATTGTGGAGTGGAAAAATAAAAAGCTGACTCAGTCAAGATAAGAAGAGGGAAATAAAAAACAAACTGGGGATGTTGGGAATCTTGACATGAATCATAACTAAAGAGAATGCTGGGAGCGGGCCTGGGAATAACAATTAGTTACATTAACTAAGGTAAACAAAAGAGTCTAGCTTAACCAGGGGAAGGGTGCAACAGAAAACTGCCCCTTTGTGTCAAAAAGCTAACTACAAAAAGAAAAACAAGACTGACCCCATTCACACTAACCAGGCTCACTACTTTTACCCACCTTTTGTTGAAATCTACTGATAACATATACTTTCTATCAGTTCTGATCTTCATTTTGAGTTGATGCCCATAAAAACCAACCAGATCCTGATTAGAATAATGTTCATATAAGATTCTTTCCATTTGCATCATCCACACCACCATCCTTGCCATGGCTAGCAACATCAGAAACACCATCTGTCTCAACCCAGAACATGAGGGCAACACATTATCTCATGCGTATGTGAAATGAATGAACACAAGATGTTCAGGATCAATATGAACCATCAACTTGCTGACATACTCCCAGAACAGGCACCAAGGATAGTGGTGGGAGGCATGCACAGCCATTTCTGCTAAACCAAAGTCACACCAATAACAGCTGGACATATCTGCCTAGCCTTCTCTGAAACCCATGTCATTGAGAGATAGCACATTCTGGATCAGTTGCCAGGTAATTGAAAACTCAGGGTTGCTGCAGTAATTTGCTGTTGACATCCAGGACCAAAAAGAGTTAACTTGGTCACCTACAAGCTGAGCCACCCACTAGTTCCTAATACAATGTCCTCCTAGGCCATGAAAGGTCACAGGATCAAGGCACGCAAGGTGAATTGACACTTATGGAAGCATTTGAACTGTTTCCAGGATTTACAATGGCATTTGACCTCAGAATTGGGAGGAGTGATCGTAAGGCTAGGGAAAGCAACCCTAACACTCATTTCCCAGGGTGAATCTTTTGTCAACATGTGGCATAGGAAAACCAACCTCTCAGTGTGTTGATGACACTACAAGTCTGGAATTCCCAGCCCTCCCATTTCACAGATGCTGGACACAGACTTTTCTGTGAACCATTTAAGTCAATGGTCCACTTGACAAGAGGGAGAACAGCAAATACCTGATACAAAAATTGACAAAGGAGAAATTGGTAGAGCTTAACTACAGCTCCAGGACTGAACCACTTTTAATCAGCAGGAGTGCTAAGCCTCTAGCTGCTGATTTAAATACAATTCTATGTAGATCTGACAATATGTCAATACAAATCATGTCATCAAAATCTGGCAGAAACTTGTTTCAACAATGTGAGAATCTTTTCTTAAGAAAACTGATATTGTTTTCAGGACCATGACAAGAGGCAATACACATGAAATTAATTATTAAAAAAGCCATTTATCTTATTGTATCAGTTATTTTTATGTATACTCCTAAATATATTTGCTTGTTTTTTTTTGTTTTGTTCAATTTGATTATATATAATAATCTTTCACTCTCTGAACACAAAGTAACTGAAAATGGAAAAAGCAGCAACATAAATTAAACAATATCTTATGCATAGATACTTTAAGATGTGTAAATATTTCAAACAAGAGTATATCTGTAAAAGGGCAATATGAATAAAGACAAAAGGAAAACTTATCTTCACCAACGCGTTTTGTCCTCTGAGGGACTTTATCTAGGCAAAAGCAAATTTTTTCTTTTGTCTTTATTCGTACTTTAAGATAATGAAGTTTTATCTTTCAGTTTGAAGAAAAAAGAATTAGAATGGCAGTCTTATGTCCAAGAAGAATCTAATGAAGTTTTAGTGACCAACAGTTTGTTAGCATCTGCATTCATGACTTACTGTGGACCATTTCATATCAAACACAGGTATTAATTTTATTAACACTTTAGTCTCTTTATTTTTTAAATATTTTATCCTTTGTCATTAAAAACATGTTTTTCTGATTTCATCTTGAATCTAAATTTAGCAATCAAAAGTTAAAGTCAGAAAATTATACATTCACAAAAGTCTGTATATATAATTCATAAATACTGACATTCTTTCTAATGATTAAAAAAATGTTATTGCAAATTTAATGGACTAATTTTGCATTATATTAGTTAATTTTTACAGGAATTTTTATAGCAAATTTAGAGCCAACATGATTACAAATTTTATCCTGATTAAATAAAAATGAAATAAAAAAAATTTGTGTGATGTAATTGACACACTGGCAAATGCTGAAAGTATTAAATTTCTTATATCTTTATAACCTTATAATTACATTCACAAATATAATTTTCAAATTTTTACCTTTTTTTAATTTAATTAGTATGTATGGTTTATTATTATTATTATTTTTTACTTTTATTTAGTATGCATGTTTTTTAAATTTATTTAGTACATATGTACTAAATAAATTAAAAAATAGTTAAAATTTCGAAATTATATTTGTGAATGATTTTTCTAGAGCTGAGAATTTTAACAAATATCTTGTTGTAGATTTTATACTGGTGAAAAATTTCATCAAGATGAAAAATTAATGCATATTTATTTATTTGCATTATTGAAAAAAATTTTATCATTTTTGCTATATTTTTTATCTGATCTGTTTTAATATAATATGAGAATGTTTATGTATCTCATTTGTAATAACAATTTCTTTGATTTCTTTTCAAATTCCACAGACAGACATTATGTGACTCTTTCCTCCAAATATGTAAAGAACATCATTTTCCTGAGCCTTATCATAAACTTTTCAAAAACTTAGACCTTCATCAATATATCTTTCCACCTGTAAGTAAATTAATTTATTTTCAAGCAATAAATATATCAAGAAAGATAAATATGTTTAGTTTGAAAAAATATTTATAGCTGAAAATTATACTTACTTATTAAAAGAGAAAATAATTTAATTAGATGATAAAAATGCAGTTATTGAATTTAGCCAAAATATTAATTACACATTGGATTTTTTCCAAATATCTCCATGTTAACAGAAATATTCCTTTCTTAGGCCTTATGCATGATCATAAATTTTTTTTAAAAATAAAAGAAAACAATTAACTCCTGGCCTTTTCTAAATAAAATAATTAAATGAATAAAAATAAATAATGACATAAAAAAATCAATGCCAACATCAACTCATTTAGATTTAGTAAGCCAAAAATGATGTCACTTAGCATCTGCCATTGTTTATGTTTTTTATACAGTAAATTTTTAAAATATTTTAGTGTTCTCTAAATTCAAAATTTAAAAAAATTGACATCATTTTATTTTTCTTCATCTAATGCGGTTGAGACAAGAAATAATGTTTGATAACTTTCAATCTATTTGGTTTCTCATTATTTATTTATTAATTTTTTTGTTGTTGTCTTCTTCAGATGTTGCAAATGGATCTGGAAATACGGCAAATGCCAATGACAAAAGTCTTTTTAGAAAACTTCTGTTTCTTTGTTGAGGAAAAATCCTGGACAAAATGGCCACTTATCTGTGACCCTAACCACCAAGCAATTGGCTGGTGCAGAACTTACTTACAAGGCACTAATTTTGTTGAAGTGAATTTACATGTGCGTGTTCAAATTATTCTTTTAAAGCTCAGGATCATTATTTCTCAGTTTCTCTATTTTTATATCAAATCTTTCTCCTTATATGTTTGTGTTTGGGCTTTCCTGCTTCACATCAGCATGGCTGATGCTAACCTCATTGCACCTTCTCTGGCTAACATTCTCAGCTGACATGATGTGGAAAGATTATATAGAATGCATTGCTAGGTCTGCTGCTAAAAAAGTTGGTTCATTGTGTTATGCTGGGACAATTTTTCTGTCCTGAATATATCTTACATAGTTATAAGTCTACCATTCGCCCTTGCTTTGAATATTGCTGCCACATATGGCCCGGTGCTCCTGCTATATATTTAGAGATTCTTGATAAAATCCAAAGAACAATCAGCAATATTATTGGTCCTGAACTGGCACCTTGGCTTCAGTTACTTTCCCACAACTGTAATGTAGCTTCCCTGTGCCTTTTTTCTAAATGTTTTCATGGTAATTGTTTGGATGAACTCTTTGCTATGGTACCAAGACTTTATGAATTTAAGCACATTACTAGATTGGCAGCAAGGTCTCATCAATTCACAGTTGAATTGGCTAGATACAACCATAAGTTCTATGGTAAGAGTTTCTTTTCTCACACTTCTAACTCATGGAACTTTCTTCTGTCTTCATGCTTTCTGGTCAACTTTGATCTTCAAAACTTTAAATGCAATGTCAATCTTTATCACCTGTCTTTCTGATTATCCTTCTATTGCTCTCGCTCTTTAATAATGGTTCTCTTTTTTTCCTATTTTTTCACATTCAGTAGACCTTTTTGTCTTAGTGGTTTTACTGCCTTGCATGGGGTGATATACTTTTTTAAACAATAGGTAAGATGAAGAGAACAAAAAATGAGATTAAGGCCTATATGGCTTTAATTACTTATCCATAGAGCATTCAGAATATTTCAATGGTGTTAGAAAATGGTATGTGTTAGTGGGAGCTGAAAAGCTTGGTTCACTTTCCAAAATCGGATGAAATAACAAATCCTCAGAATTCTTTTAAAGTCTATTCTTGATTGTGATGGTGAGTTTCAGCAACCCCCTCATATTTGAAATATATTTTCTGATTAGTTATATAATTGTTATGTACTATATTTTTACTGTGAATTCATGATGACTATCAATTGACTAAAAATCTGTGGCAATTATCAGTCACATTAATTAATGGTTCTGTCAGCAGAAATCTAGGACAAAATATGTTAATTGGTGTTAAAGAACTTTGCAGGAACATTACTTGCAAATTCCTTGTTTATTTAAATTTTAAAAGTACGAGTACAAACAAAAATTGGTAGCTTTTCATGAATAAAGGTTGCTTTTCTTTGAACTTCAAAAGTCTGCAACTTGAAGAGATTAAGTACTTAACAGGCACACTTCTAGATCTAGATCATTTTGTACTTTTTTAATCATTTCACCCCAAGCAAGGTGGGAATGCCACTAGTATGCAGGGGATTACAGAGAGGGAAATTAAGAGAAAAAACCATGTGTGTCAGGTTTTGACTTGACTATTTATATATACTGGACGCTAGTGCATTATGGATAGGCCTGTTGTATTATTCTAATGGTTATTTGGGTGGGCAGTAAATTTCAAATTATTCTAGGGACTACTGAGTAGAAATAATTGTGGATCCATTAGAATAATACAGTAGACCTACCCATAATGCATCACTGTCCAGCATGTATAAATAGTCAAGCCAAAACACAACATACATGGGCCTGATGATTGCATTTAAACATGTAACAGGCTCTTGCCGCTGGGGGTTAATTTTTTATATATATATATATATATATATATATATATATATATATATATATATATATATATAAAAGTGAACATTGAAGGCAACAGACTGTTTCATGGTAGACATAATCATCAGGCCACCTGATATATATATATATATATATATATATATATATTTTAAAGAAAAACAGAGCACTTTAAGGTATCATTATAATAATTTATTTCACCAGAGCCCTTTTAAAGGATGCCGGATCATCAGATGGCACTTCCAAAAAATGAAATGAAACGAAAAAGAAATTAAAATTGATGGATAGTGTAACTTTTTGTAATTTAACAGAGAGTGCAAAAGAGGTAGTTAAGGAGACATGGTAGAGTATAGGGAGGGATTAATTTCATATCTCTCTCAAGCATACTTTGTATTGGGGGAGGAGGAGGGACCACACCATGACCTATTTAGACGGTTAACTTAATGGAAGTGATATATTGAAATGGGAGGGGAGAAGGGAGAAAAGAAAAAGGCAAAAGAAAGAAGAGGGAGAGGGAAGTAAAGAGAAAGAGGCTGTAATTGGGTTTTAGAAATTTATGTAAAGAATAGATTTTAATGCTTAATATTAATTTAGATGTCTAAAAAAAACCTGAAGAAATTAATATGATGCTTGCTATCAATTTAAATATTTAATTTTTTTTACAAATAGTTTAGGGATTTAATATAAGTTAAATACTATATTTATTAACACATAGGGAACATATTAAAAAAATTTTAAATTATAACAGTTTGTTTACCTGACCAATTGTACTTTTTTAATATTGTAAGAAACAGTTATGGTAACATCTTTATCAGTTTGAATCTAATTTATGAATGTAATTTGTAATTATTTTTATATGGATAATCTTGAAAAATTATTAAAAAACATAATAAAAAAAGTTTAAATCAGTACAAAACCTGAGTAATAATAGCCATTTCAAAGCAATTAACACAGATAATACAAACAAGTGTAATTGTCTAAATTCTAACAAATGTCCAAATAAAACGAATGTTAAACTGATTCTCTTGTTTACCTATAGAAAATCCAATATTTAAAAAAAATTTATTTTGGGAGTACCAAGAATCCCTTTAAAAGTTGGTGGTACTATCATATATTATCTTTCTCCAATAATACATACAGAAACAGGATGTTCCTTTCTAAATATTTTTGGAACTTAAAAGAAGTTAATAAAACCCCTATGGTGAAATAGAAAATACTAAAAAAAACTAGAACTTGTAAATCTTTAAATGAACCTTGCTTCTTATGTTTACATGAAAAAATAGAAATTATCAAATTTGCTGACAAAAAATTCCTATTAAACCAAAGGAATGAATTAACTGTAAATTGCTGACAAAGTTTATCTTTTACCTTAAAATATAGTTAAATTTTTAAAAATGATGTATTACCATTTCTTATAGCCATAATTTATTAGTAAATAATGGTCCACCCTCTATGAATAATTATATTATTTTGTTTATTCAGATTTAATATTGCTATGTATTGCAATCCAGTTAGTATATATATATATATATATATATATATATATATATATATATAGTATTGTTGAAACAAAATTGAAATTTTTGTAGTGATATTATAACAGGCATATGTTATAATTTTGAACAAATATTATTTATTCTACTCAGTATTGAGCACTCTTTTAAGAATAGTGGTTTTGGTTATCAGAATTTTATTTCATCTGTATCACACCTGTACTTGTGTGTGCATGTATATATATATATATATATATATATATATATATATATATATATATGTACTTCCACTTTTTTTATTTAAGGGTGGCCTTCTCATTAGTTGAGAGAGAAAAAGAAATATTGGGTTTTAAAGAAAGCAAATGCCCTTTTAATTCTTTTTATTTTTTTGTTTATATATATTATTTTTATATTATTTTTTTCTCAGGGCTCGCTACAAAGTCTAGATGCCATAGAGGAAAGTTCATCAGAACAATTACCATGAAAATATTTATAGAAAAGGTATTGGGAAGCTACATTACAGTTGTGGGAAAGTGTCTGAAGCTGAGATGCCAGTTCAGGATCAATAACATTACAGATTTTTCTTTCGATCTTATTAAAAATCTCACCAGACCATATGTGGTAGCAATATCCAAAGCATGGAATAATGGTAGACTTATAAATATATGATAGATCCAGGTGAGAAAAATTGTCTAACCCAACACAGAGAACCAATTTTTCTTACAACTGACCTAGTAATTGATCCAATACAATGTTTCCATTTCATGTCAGTGAGAAGTCTCCTCGAGGTTAGCATCAGCCTTGCTGATAGAAAGCAAAAAGATTCTCTCAGATAATTTTGTTATCATTTATTATCATTATATTATATGTATTACCAGACATTATTATCATTATTATTATTATTTTATAAGATTTATTTGATATTTGAACAAAACAACATAAAATCCAAGCATAATATCTTCTATTTTTAGTACCAGGTATGGTGTGCATAAAAAAAACAAACCTATTTCTGTTGAAATATCTGAATAATTCTATTGATAAAGCTTTGTGAAAAATTATCATATAGTTGAAAAATTTTGGTTTTTGCATAAGGATGAATGTATGAATTATTCTAAATTTATTTTCTTTTACATTTTATATTATATCAGGATTAAATCCTCTAGAATTTGTTGAATTTCAAGAAGTTATTTGTAAATAAGACATAAAAGTCTAATGAATATCCTGAAAAATTATGAATTTTTCTTCTTAATTTATATCATCATGTATTCTTTACATGTAATAATAGAGAGTTATATATTTGTTCATAAAAACTTTCATTATTAAATTTTTATTATGCCAGAAAGTATTAACTATCTGCATATCTTTTCGCTTTCTTTCTCCCAAACATACATATGTTTCTTTTTTCCAGATATACACTTGCTTTTTTTTCTCCCAGATTATGCACTTGCCTTTCTTTCTCCCATATATAATCTTGCCTTTCTTTCACCCTGATATACACTTACCTTTTTGTTTTTAACCCTTTTTCTATTTTGTAGGAATTAAAATCTCATCTGGACAGTTGCTTGACTGAGGGAATTCCCTTGCTCCTGACAGAATGTGATCCTTTGCGTCTTTCAAATAACCAACATCTTTGCAGCATTATTGGAGCTTCCAAAATTTTTCTCCAAGCAACAGAATCTTTTAAAATGAATGTGTGTTTAGATTCTTTGCTTATCTTTCTGATAACTTGAAGATTTTGCTATTGAATAATATTTTAAAGTGTAAAATGTTAACTTTTAAGGATTTTATGAAGTATATTAAGAATATTACAAAATTATTATTTTTCTACTCCTTCTCCCAGCTGGCCAAATTAAATCCGTCATTCAATTGTTGTCCTTTCATTGTATCTATTTTTTTTCTTATATTCTTTTTATGTTACTTTTCTTCCAAGAAAACTCTTTTTTTAAATTAATTTTTCACAGCAGTGAATCTCTCAGAGAGGAATGGATTACTTTAGAATATTTACATTTTATTTTGAGTATTCAATCAAATGTCAAACAGTGTGTATTGACAATTCAATTCAGTTATTTTTACATGCATGACTGTAATATAGCAACAACTCTAAGTAGAAACATATGAAGCTTTATTTGACTAATTCAGCTTTAGCGTTGAAAACATTTATTTTATTTTATCAGATTATTACAAGTGAGAGGGGAAATGGAATGTGCTTATTTTATTACAACAATGACAAAATGTAATTTTGGGTTACTTCAGAGTTAATAAAGAAATTATATTTCTTAGAAAATCAACTAAAATAAAAATGTAGTATCTAAAATCCATCCAGAAAAAGTGTGTAATAAGGTGTGTAATACAATCATTATGGTTCACAATCTATAAATGAAACCATTTATAAAATATTAGAGAAATTAAACTGATTGATTTTTGCCTTAAAATGGCTTCTTTGGCTTTAGATAGCTTTATTTTTACATATTTCTCATCATCTCTTTCTTTTCTTTTTGATTAAAAAAAGAACTTAAAGTTCTTGTAAATCTGCCATTATCTTCATAAATTATATTTCTTAATACACTTAATAAACATCAATTTACTTGTAATGATTGCCAAATATTATTCATAGGTTGGGGACCATGAAGTTGAATGCAAACCATCATTTCGATTATATCTTCACACTTCCTCAGAAGCCTTTGAAGTTGGAGATTTTTTAGCTGCTTTTACCAAGAGATTAACTTTTCCTCAATCTGTTGATTGTCTCACCATTCAACTGTTGCTACGATGTCAGAATCAAGAAAAAAATCGCGTAAAAGAAGAGCGGTCTCATTTGCTGCAGGTAATCACAAAACAAAACACATTTCAATAATTTTTCATATTATTTATGTACAATAAAATTTATATTCTTGTGCTTTTCAATTAAAAAAAAAATTTGTTTTTAATCATTTCACCCCAAGTTAAGCAATGAAGCCATTATGAAACATGGAGTTACTGAGTGTGAGAAAATATGAGAAAAAAAAACACTATTAATGAGAGAGAGAACAATAAAAGAACAGGAATTAAGAAGACAAAAGATTGACATTGCATTTAAATTTTTGAAGATCAAAGTTGACTGGAAAGAAAGAGTTCCACAAGTGAGATGTGCGAGAGAAGAAACTATTACCGTAGAATTTACAGTTACATCTAGCCATTTCAACTGGTAAAATGATGAGATCTAATAGCCAATCTAGTACTGTGCATATATTTGTAAAGTCAAGGTACCAATGAAGAAAGCTCATCAGAACAATTAGTATGAAAATATTTATAGAAAAGACATGGGGAAGTTATGTTATGACAGTGGAAAATGAAGCAGAGATGCTGGGTCAACTAATAGCAATTCAGATTCTTCTTTAGATTTTATCAAAGAATCTCTAAATATATAGCAAGTGCAGCAGACCAGATGTGCCTACAATATTCAAAACCTGGACAAATGGCAGACTTAAAAATATGTAAGATAAATTCTGGTGAGAAAAACTGTTTAGTACAACACAGTGAACCAAGATTCCTAACAGCAAACCTAGCAGTTGATTCAAATCTTTCTAGTTGATGTCAGCAGAAAATGATAGTTTGAGAAGGCACAATGAGTCACTCTCCTGGAGGTTAGCATCAGAGATGCTTATGGAAGGTGAAAAGGGTTCTCTCATTTTAGCTTGGTTATGTGTGTGTATTTTATTTTAATGGGAACTATAAACCTTTTTTAAGTCCTGATAGATAAAGTAATGTTATGTTGTTACATGTTCTTCTGGTAAGTTTTCACATCATCATTTCAAATAAATAAAGTAAGAAAGTGTTTAAAGTCACAACAGGGAAACTATTCAACTGACTTGAATTTTTGGAAAACATTCTTAAAAGAAATATAATTGTACAAAGTTTTAGACTCCTGTCAAGGTTCACTGTGGAAGTAACAGATTTTTTTTTTGGTTTTGTTTACCAGTACAGGTAAGGTATTTTAGAAAGGAGGTTTACCAAAGTGTGCATTCAATTATTATAGCATCTTAATGTCATGGTATTTTGCCACAATATCTGATGAATGGACAGAGCATAGGAAAATGTAGGTCCATGCTTTTCTCAAATGTACAATAAATACATGCAGTTTTAACAAAAGTTACAACAAGCAACCACTGTGCCAATTCACACCTCCTTGGTTAAGATTTTAAGAGAAAATATATGGAGAAATTTCTTTTTATAATTGAAATTGCATTTTTTATTTTTTCTCTCTTATTTTCTTGCTTTATATTTTAATTTCTTTGCCATCTTTTCTGTTATTTTATTTAACTTTTTGACACACACACACACACACACACACACATATATATATATATATATATATATATATATATATATAATGTATGTGTGCATATACATAGGTAGATTTGCATGCGTGTTTTAAGTAAAACTTCACCATTCATAAAAAGATCATTTAGATTATGTATACATTTTTGCCACTCAGTTTCACTGTCCTATGTTTAGTCACTCAAATTCCAAAATTCATATCCATAGTCATATTAGCATAAGTTTTGTCATCATACATAATTACTTACAATCATAATAATAATAATAATAATGATGATGATGATGATGATGAAATATAGATAACTTAATAATGATCGTTTTTTTTCTGTTTTGAATACAAAATTATGTACTTTTCTTTTAAAAATATTTTGGTTTCTTCATTTAAGATAAAAGAAAAACAAAGTAAATTTTTAGAAAAGGCAGAAACTGAATTGATAACAGAATTTTGTAAGGACATCTTCATCATGAAAGAAATGCCAACATTGAAAAATCTTCTGGAGTTGGTCAAGAAATATGAAGACCTCCAAGAAAGGTAAGAATGTATTCTGATTTCATTCCTTCAGCTTTTAGTTACCAATTACCAGGTATTTTTCTGTTTAATTGAATACCATTTGTTGTTTGATTACTAAAAAACTTCTATGGGGAGGAGGCACAGTGGAGTAATGGATAATGGGTTGGATTGAGGAATCTGAGAGCTGAGTTTGAATTCCAGTTGAATCCATTACATTCAGTTACATGCTAATACCCTTTGGAAAGGTATGAATCCTCTTCTTCTACCCCCCCCCCCGCCAGCTATGGGTAATAGCAGGACAGACCAGGTTCTATAGCATTTGATGGCAACTGGTCTACCGCAGAAAGAAATGGCAACCTACTGTTGGAAAAAAGATCTGCCTCGTCAGTCATGTATCAAAAGATATGTATCTTTCAATAGATGAGTAACAAGGCCTAAGCATGTATCAGGTATGGCACATAACTGATGTTCTAGTTCCTTTGAGTCCTTGGCTTTCATTTTGAAACTATTAAAATAAAAACAAAAACCTTTTTTCTTTTGCTGCTGCAAAAGGAAAATAGGTTTTTGTAGTAAGATATTATTCAATATATTATAAATGGTAATGGTTAATGTTTGAAATTATTGAATATTTTTTTCAGCCTTAAAGCAGTTGATAAAGATTTAGAGATTATTTTGCAACAAACAAAAGATCAGTACATCCTCATTGCCAAACAAGGAGCTCTCTGCTATAATATCATGCAGAACATGAAAGAACTGAATCCTTTGTACCAGTTTCCATATCCAAGGTTTCTGAAAATGTTTGACTCCATTGTTTCACAGTCTGATCGGTAAGTCAGTCATGTTCTCTTAGAATATTCAAACAAATAATATCAATGATTTGAAGAGAAAATTAAACTGCTTGGCTTATAAACATAAAATAAACAATGCATCCCAGTAATCATAATGGGCAAGTATGGCAAAATTAAAAGAAATTCTTTAAAGTTACAGTTCTGCAAAACCAAAATCTATTTTTACATATATATATATATATATATATATATATATATATATATATATATATATATATATAAATTACCTCCACTAATTTGTGATGCCTAAGGTTTAAAATGAATTTTTAAAAATGTCAAACCTTTCTTGAAGCTTTCCTTTGTAGCTTTAATTGAAAGCTAAAGAATTAAATTTACTATTTCCAGTAAGCAAAATACTCTGTTGTATTTCAAACAGAAATTATATTGATTGGAATCAAATTTTTTTTTGTTAAAATAGCTGATTAGCACCCTTATTTAGTCATCTTTCATTGCAATTTAATTCTCTTTATTAAAAAATCTTCCAAAAATAAAATATACTTTTCTGAAACATTATTTGAGAAATATTTATTGATTTAAAGTATAATTAATCTGATTTAAAACAAATATTATTTAGTTTAAGTTGAACATAACACAGAAATGCATTTTTAAACCAAACAGTTGGTGTGTTTTAAATGACAGTAGCCATGTATATGTTATGACAAGTTTATTGTTGTTCTGTGGAGTCTTTATCTGTCAAACATAATTTAAGAAAATGATGTGAGCACCTTTTTATATAATTTTTAAGTACTCAGTAATCATAAAAATGATGGAAAATATTCTCTGTAATCTAATTTTAAAATGTTGACATTAAATTTACTAGTCATTGATCTTATTTTCTGATAGTGCTGTGTATGGTCACCCATACTTTAAAAAATGAGCACATTTATATGCATAAAAAAATTCAAAATACTTTTAAAAAATCTTCATGTTTGATAAGCTTTACCATTTATGATTAGTAAATATAGTTTTCACTTAATAATAAAATAATATAAATGGCTGAAATTAATACAAAATTTTAAAAGATTTAAAACTTAATAAATTTTTCAAAAATAAAATTTTTCAAAAATGAAAACAATTCTTGTAAAAATTCATTATTCAATGGAAAAATATTAAGACAAATTTAAATTTGTCTCATTTATAAAAGCAATTAAAAACTTTCCTAATTAAATATTGTTGTAGTTTTATTGCATTTTTTTATTTTATGATTTAGAGGAGATTTTTGGTAAATGTTGTTCGTGCTTGATAAAAATAAAATGATTACTAAAATTCTCCAAAGAGTCCTTTTACCTAATATGAATATTAAGAGGTGGAAATTTTAATTTCTCAAAATTTCATATAATTAAGTAAATGGCAGGGGTGGTAATGGATTTAAAAAAAAAAAATTTTTACCACGATTTTCTAAAAAAAGAAAAATTTCATTCATTTGTGAATAAGTCCAGAAATTTTCATTAAAATCCAACAATTATTAGATCTTTGCAAGAATTTTGAATTCACTGTTTTTTTTTCACTGCAAAATGATGCTAAAATTTCCTATACTAATTTATGGCCCCTTGCTGATGCAAAAAAAAAACCAGAGATTTAACCAAAATTTCAAATTAGCTTGAAAGGATTAAAAAATTTAATCAAATAATAAAAAATACTTTGGTCTTTCCTTTTGATAATAACATAATCATCTTGATGATAAAACTTTATTGTTATCAAGTTTGGGACCTTTTTTTAATCATGGTGTGCTGTTTTTTTAGCAAAATACATACATATATATATATATATATATATATATATATATATATATACCTTTATTGTTAAGATATTTATGATAAGTATTTTGCACTATTTACATTGTTTGGACTGTTGTCCTCATCTTTGTTATCATATTCACAACGTTCACATCAAAAATGATTTGACCCAAAGAATTGTGAGTTCAATACCTGGACACAGCAGAGGTAAACAAAAACTTGGAGAGTTGTGTTACTAAAGGAAAATAACCGAAACTGAGATATCCGGAAGAGGCATGGCAAGTGGAACTAGAACAATTTACCCAGGTAGATGAAATAAAGGGATTGGTTTGAAATTCCAATCATCTGAAGAAGGCTGGAACATACAACAGCCAAAACAGTGTGAATATGGCAACAAACATGAGGACAACAATCTGAACAATGTAAATAATGTAAATAGTTACAATACCTCATCTCAGAAATATAGAAAAATATTTTGTATAACCAAAATGTTATTGTGTTATGATTTATAAAAAATTTCTGAAGAAATTTAGCATAGAAAACCTTTGTTCCATGTCCTTTCAGGACATGAATGATCATTGCTCTCCACAACTTCCTTCTCTTTTGTCCCTTTTACCACTCTCCATTGTTTTTGTGCTCATTATTCTGCTATCCATTTATTTAAACTCATCAGGCAGGTTACTCTCCACTTCTCTTGCCTTCACTACATCCTTTAAAGTGTTAAATTCTCCAAACCTTCTTCTCTCATTATTTTAGCTGTTGCTTTATGATGTTTAGCAGCAGATTTTTTTTAACTTCCTCATTTCCCACATGCTCTGTCCATGGCATTCTTAGCATTTGTCAGTAGAACTACATCTCTGTCACTTCAAGTCTCTTTTCTCCATCAGTGAATAAATGATCAAGTATTCACTGCCAAATAGAAAATTAGACATTACATAGCAGTTCATTACTCGTTTCTTTGTTTCTAAGAATATTTTCTCATAATACTTTGCTAGGAAATTTTAGCATCTTTTTTGTGGTAAAAATACACTGACTTGGAAATTCTTGCAAAAATCAAATAATAGTGGGATTTTAATGAAACTTTCAGGACTTATTCACAAATGAATTAAACTATTTTTGAAGTTTTTTCTTTTTTAGAAAATCTTGGTAAAAATATATTTTTTTATCTGTTACTCCTCACTTACTTAATTTTATGAAATTTCACCCCATTTAAGATTAATATTAGTTAAAAGCGAGACTTCTGTGAGAATTTAAATCAATTTTTTTTAAAAACAGAAACACCATTTTACCGAAAGTTTGCTCTGAATCATAAAATAAAATTGAGACATTATTTAATTAGAGAAGCTTTTAATTGCTTTTACAAATAAGATATATTAAGGACACTATTGTCTTAAGAAAAAAAATTTTTGTTGAATAATGAATTTTTACAAGGAATGTTCTCATTTTTTAAAAATTTTAATTAGAATAATTTATTAATTTTTAAATCTTTTAAAATTCTGTATTAATTTCATCATTTTAGATTATGTTATTATTATTAAGTAAAAACTATATTTATTAATCCTAAATGATAAAGCTTAGTACAAATCATCAAACACCAATATTTTTAAAAGAATTTTTAATTTTTTTGTATGTGTATAAACATGCCAATTTTTGTAGATATGGTTGTTTATACACAACATTATCAGAAAATAAGAGTGATAACTATAGTATATTTAAAGCCAAAGTATCTAAAATTCAATAAAACATTAAATTACATAGAATATTTTCCTAAATTTTTAAGATTACTGAGTACTTAAAAATCATGTATAAAAGGCACTCACGTTATATTCTTCAATTATATTTTATGGATAAAAGCCCTCATAGAACAACATTAGATAAACATCCATCTGTCATCAAACTGTCAACATTTCAACAACTTAAATAAACCATGTTAAAAAATAGATTTCTGCAATATTTTAAACTTAAAGTAAATAATATTTGTTTCAAATCAGGTTAATTATACTTTAAATCAGCTAATATTTCACAAATAAAGCTTATATTTATATTTTTGGAAGATTTTTTAATAAAGAGAATTACATTCTGATCACAGGTGGCTAAAAATGGTGCTAAAATAAAAAATTCAGCAATTTCAAAACTAAATCTCTTCCCAATCAATTTAAATTTGTTTTGAAATACAGCAAAGTATTTTACTTATTGGAAATATTAAATTTAATCCATTCGTTTGAAATTAAAACTAAAATAAAAGCTTCAAGAAATATTTTTCATTTTTAAAAATTAGGTATCTTGAATCTGGGGAGATACCTAATTTTATATATAATGAAAACCAAAATAGTTTATTATAATAAACTATTTTTGATGAAAAACAAGACCCCATTCAAGAGTTAACAAATTTTAATAAACTACATTTTTATACATTTCTGAATAGACACAGCAAGAATATCAGCTAAAAAAATTTGCAAGTTTTAATTTGCAGCTTGATTTATTTAAAATACCAAATAAAAAAAAAGTTTGCTTTCAATAAACTGATGTACTAAATTTAAATTTAATTTTTTTTCAGCAAATTACATAAATTGCATTCTGAATAGTTTTAACATTTTTTGAATATTATGATTTTGATTACTTGATATATTAGATTTATTTATTTGTTTTTCCCAATTTTCAAAATTTTATGAAAATAGGAAAGATAATAATCTATTTTTCAATTACTTTAAAAGGTCATTGGCCAAATCAGTTGCTGAAAAACTGCTTTTCACTTCCAACCAGAAAATGGTGCAGCGTCTTCTAAGTAAAGACCGAATTGTGTTTACCTTACTCTTGGCTATGGAGGTAAATGATATTAGAACAATATTTATTTGTTTTCTGTTATCTTTTTTCAAAAGTTGTAGAAAAGTTGTAGATGCTAACATCTGCTGCAATATTTCTTGCAATATACATATTATAAAATTAAATAAGGGTTTCATAATTTACTTCTACTTTTATGTGATGTCATGTATAAAGTATAATCATTTGGTGATTGCTCTTACAAAACTTGAAGGCCAAGAAATTGGTAATTTTTCTTCTTCATAAAACAATCATTTTAGTATGCTTGATATTCTTCCTTTTTTAAGTGCTTACAATATCCAATTAAAAAGAAATATTTCAATAAAACTCAATTTAAATGTAATATTTTGAATCAAAATGTGTGATAGCTTAACATAAATAAAGTGTTTAATTTATTGTGTAAACTGTTTATGTAAAACTGTATGCAAACTGTGTTTTTACCTCCTAAGTAGATAAATGATACTCCTTGTTGCTCAGTTTTATACAAGAACAAACTAAAACTCTTTTCCCAATAACAGCAACCAAATGACATTTGCTCTTATGCTTCCTTGTCCATAAAAGATAATAATTAATAAAAAAAAGTTTATTTGCTGCTACTTTTGCTAATTCAAAAAGAATCAAAAGAAATGTGTACTTTGTAAAGCACACATTTTTATTATTTCAGTTACTAGTCATTTTCTACAAAACATTCTTGAGTAATGGTTGGTATAAGGGTGGGCTTAAAACTTCATAGTCAGCCTATGTAGCAACCATATCAGCATGGATGTCCTTGGGGACTAAACCCATTTTTCTGCAGGTACTTGATAACATGATGCAAAATTTTGTCCATTTTCGAGAGAAGTCGCTATTAGTTACTTTTGAAGTTTTATTTGAACAGTCAGATGTCTGTTTACCTGGAAAAAAACAATGCACTTTTTAATAAGAAGAGTTGAAATTAATGTATGCAAGATTTAACAGCTCTAACACCAATCTAAAACTAATTTTTAAAAAATAAAAAATATTTCTTGAAGCTTTTATTTTAATTTTAATTTTGAGCTAATAGATTAAATTTAATATTTCCAATAAACAAAATACTTTGCTGTATTTCAAAACAAATTTAAATTGATTGGGAAGTGATTTAGTTTTGAAATTGCTGAAATTTTTTATTTTAGCACCATTTTTAGCCACTTGTCATCAGAATGTAATTCTCTTTATTAGAAAAACTTCCAAAAGTAAAATATACTTTTCTGAAGCATCAATCCTTCATAGTCAGCCTATGAACTTTTCAGCCCACTTTTGGATTTGGTCTTATGCTTATTACAGCTTTTTCTTTTTTTTTGTTGCCTTGTTTGATAGCCACTAAAGAATCAGGCACCTAAAAGTTTGAATACAAAAACAAATATGAGAAAGTGCTAAAAAGTTCTATTCCCAATCTACTTCCCAAAATCTGACCAAGTGACTAAACAGTAGATTTGAGTTATTGTTGTTGTTACTGGTGGTGGTTGGTGGGAGGGCTTCATAGTTAACCTCATAGTTAATATTTTTCAACATTGTATCAGAAAATAATTAAATAACACCGTAACTGAAATGTTACAATGAATGAATAAATCTATCAATATTGGTGTGCATAAATTCTTGATACTAAATGTTATTTCTTATAACGTATATCTTTTTTTATTATTTCATGATATGCAGATAGAATTTAATGGAGGCCGAATCCAAGCCGGGGAAAGAGAATTTTTAATCTCTCCTACATCAGCATTGCAGACTTTACCTTCTGTTGCAAATGCTTCCAATTTATTAACCAAGAATTGTTTTGACTGGATGCCAGATGAAGTCTTCAGCAACTTACAGACTTTAGCAATGAAATTTGATTGGTTCTTTGATGTTTTTATGAATATGAATAAAGATGGTAAAGATGTCAACTGGAAAACTTTGTATGAAAGTGAATCTCCAGAGAATTGTAATTTACCTGATAAACTTAATAAGAGTCTCTCACCTTTACAAAGATTCTGTGTTTTACGAGCATTGAGGAGTGACCGAGTGATCCAACTAACCACAGCCTTCATTATGACAGTTTTGGGAAACAAGTGAGTCTGTATCAGAAATTTTTTCAGTCTTCTGCTTATGGAATCAGTTTACTATTTGGGAATTTATTTCTTTTATTAACCTCATATTTCTAACAACTATATTTCAAGTTAGTCAATTAAGGTATTTATTATTTACATACACAATTTTTATGTTATGTAAAATATGCCACTAGAATTTGCTAAATGAATTTTATTTATGTGTATTCCATGAAAGTACATCATTCATCTTTGTTAATTTAAAATGGTTTCTTTTTTTGTAAATGACTCTTATAATTTTTGCAAAAAACTAAAACTCCATCTTTTCATTTCATTCATAAGATGTGCAGCATTCTAAAGAGGGTTTTTTTTAACATTTTTTAATCACCTGCCTTATTTACAATTGTATAATTATTTTGAAGAAATTAAAAAAATTAGGCTAATTATTTAACCTAATTCTTTTTCATTTACTTAAGCAACACAGATTTAATCAATTTCTTGAAATCCTTTTCAGGTTTGTGAGTGATTCTTTGTTAAACATCCCATTAATAATGGACCAAAGCAGTCCGACTACACCAATCTTAATGCTTGCTTTTAATCCAAGCATTAACGCTGAACTCTATTTTTCCAATTGTTCTAAAGGAAAAGGGAATTTTGAAACTGTTTCCTTAAATGTTTCTATTTATTCATCCATGGTGGAGGCAAAAATCAAAAAGTTTATTTGGCAGAAAATGAGTGAGGTAATTCATTTTAATATCAATATTTGATTATCAAAGTAAAAAAAAGTGTTGTTTTTACAAACATTTGAATAAATAGTTATATAAGTTGATGTGAATAAACATTAAATTGTTAACAAAATGAAACACTCTTTAAAAATCAGGCATTTATTTTGAAAAAGCTTTTACTTCACTGTTACTGGGCTTTATAAACTTTTATTTCACTGTTACTGGGCTTTGTTAACTTTATAAACTTTAAAGAAGTTATTTAAAGCAAGATATTGACAAAATGGAAATTTCTCTTGTTCTACATTAGATATCCAGATTCTGTCTTTATTGCTGATTCACAGTCTCTCAAAATGCAGATTATAGTTTTTTTTTTCTCTTATAGATATTTTTTGACATTTGCCTTTTTATTTTTTTATGACTTCCCTTTCATTTTGAAGTCCTATTTCTGATTCGAAATAAGGATTAAGTATTTATCATTGCAGGGAATTTGGTTGTTATTGAACAATGCACACAGTTGGCCTGATCTTCTGGTGAACATTTTATCTTGGTTGAAAGAGAAGAAAATTGTCAACCCAATGTTTCGATGCTGGCTTTCAATTGATGTTAACTCATGCCAGATTCCTTCACACCTTTTAAACAATTCTCTTAGACTAGTCATGGATTCTCCTATTGTAAGTATTCAGTTTGTATGCCCCTTCCAATCTTCAGGTACATATATATAACAGACTATTTTCATATTTTTCAGTACAAATAATTGTTAGATAATGATTTAGCCATATTTCATTATTTCAAAGTTTTTCAGGTTTGTTACACTTCCACCTCTTGAGACAATTTTCATTGTAAAGATCCTTTTATTTGTGTTAACCAGTTTTTTCCTACTTCTTTATTTTAGAATTTCAAATGGTTACACATTTGATTGAACAGAATTTATACATCAACCATAATCTGATGATGATGACAACAATATAGGCTTTTTCTTTAATAATTTTTCTTTTTTACTTCTTCTTCTTTCACTTCATTTCTCTTCTCATTTTATGATTTGCAGCATCAACCACATGTTAACCAATTGGTTGATACTTTAAACTGAAGTTACAAAACAGTGATAAATGTTTTGTAAAGGATTTTTTTATTTGTTAAAAAAAACCTACGAAAAAAATAGTTCAGACAATTGTTTGAGGTAACATTTAAGGGCACACAACAAAGACAGACAACATGAGCCGAGTTTAAAAAAAAAAACAGACAATAAATTTATTAACACATAAAAAGTTGAAAGAATTATACAAATTAAGTGCTTTGTGTCGCAAATGATGACCAATCACATATATGTACGAATAATTACTGCAAATAAAATATGTCCCTTTTACAATAAAATTCACTATGCTGGATAAGGTTCTCTGGGTAAACAACATAAAAACAAATGAAAAAAGCTGGGGAAAAGTACTCTCTGAATAATTTTCAAAGAATAGGTACAATGTTCACAGTAAAGTTCATCGCAGCCGTGAAGAAAAGAACAATTACACTAGCCAAAGACTTTTCCTTGATGTGGGAGTAACTTTGACGTTCCTTTCAATTCTTGTCTGGTGGTCAGCAAATTTCTTCTGTGTTGTTTTTTTCCTTGACTGGGCTGGCTTGAGTTCATGCAGCAGTGGTTCAGTGACTCCTTGAATTCAATTCTGCTTCTGCTTTTATTCGCCAAGATAGGCTCCAGATTTGCTTCTCAGAATTTGGAGGGAAACCTTTTGATTGGTTCCAAATGAAAACCAAATGCAGATATTTTCCCACAAATTGAAATGTACCAAAAGAGCCTAACACAGCATCTGTTTTCTCTCAGAAAAGCAGATGATACCTGCTCAATCAGCTTAAATTTCTTACTTATATTTGTAACTAGACTGTCATTATATGTCTTTCCAATGGACTCTAATTAAAGTAGAAATAAGAATAAAAAATTGCTTAAAAAATAAATGCAGCCATTTTTCAGAGTTTAAAATGATTGGTTTAGACTTTCTTAAACTGAGAGGTTTTTTCATCACTGGAACAAGAATAAAAATGATTTTTTAAAAACTGGGATTGTTCTAACTGAATTAAAATTTTAGATTGGTCAAAAAATGACCAATTTTTTAAGAAGAAATATCTTCTTATCAAGTTAGAAAGATGACTAAAAGTAGTATGTTTATGCTGAAATAATATCAAATAAAGTAGCTACTAAAATCATAGACTATTTCAGGAAGAAGAAACAAATGGCAGAAGTAAGAAATAATCTTATAAACTGTTAATGTTTTCCTTTAAGAATAATTTTCTTTGAATTTTCTTTTGTAGCATGTGAAGGAGAATATGCTTCAATCATTTTCTCATTTGGACCCTGACATTTTGAAGAGAAGTTCTAATCCTATGTGGCCAGCCATGATTCACAATATCTGTCTTCTGCATGCCACTTTACGGCTTCGTGCCAGCCTGAAAAGTACCTGGTCTTACCCTGAAGACATTTGGAAGAATGACTCTTCAGAATTGCTTGTACGTTTACATTTCTTTAACTTAGATATTTTTTATTCTTTCTCTAAAATTGTATACCATTGGCTTTATTTCTTTGGAAACTGAGCTGAATGGCTTGATATTTACACATGCATAATGTATATTTTTGTTTTTTTAATATTTCAATTTCTTCATTTGATTTTTACTTGTCTCATGTCATCAAAACATGTTTGAAAGTCATCAAGTAAATGCCTGCTGATATTTTTTTCTTTTAAATTTATAATCTTGCATGTGGAATTATGGGAATGCTCATTGCTTATATATATATATATATATATATATATATATATATATATATATATATATATGGTAAAATATACTTTTAAGATATGCTATATTTATGGGTGAAAGTGATCGATATCAGGGACAGCGTGTAAGTAAATATAAAAGTGGACACTGAAGTCAACACCCAGAGGTGACAGCCTTTTTCTTGCTAAACGCAATCATCATGGCCAGATGATTGTATTTAGCATGAAACAGACTCTCTGGGTGTTGACTTCATTGTTTACTTTTTTATTTATTTATATATCTATATATATATATGATGGACTCTCTCACCATTTTCGATGTATGAGTTTCTTTCAGTTCAGTTTTTATGTTTATGTTTCATATGAAACAACAATTCTGCATGGGATTTGCAAACAAATCCATACAAAGGGCATACTGAAGGGTTGACCGTCATATGGTCTGATGTATTAGCCTGAGATTTGGTCTTAATTCTTAATTCTCTCAGATGGTTGAGACAATTCTTTCCAAAGTTAGTTATACCTTGGTAGAAGGTGTTTCTCCAGTTTGCTCAGTTTTCAACAGCAAGGTCAAACTCCTCTATAAAGATGTTTGCAGCAATTAAATTGTGTTTAAGTTTACCCATGAAGTGTAAAAGGAAAACAAAAACAAAACTTTTATATATATATATATATATATATATATACACACACACCAACATTAATCTGGCAAATTCATTTAGTGAAGACATTCTGCTAATAACCTGTACACTATTTAAATTAAAATTCTTGATGGACGGTTTGGGATTATGTTGATTAGAGTAATTAATTCATCTCACTTTTTGTATATATTGCTTCAATTTTGACTTGTTTTGTTCAATGACTTTGTTTATTTTTGTGTCAAATAATAACCATATCAGTGCCTTTAATAAAATCATTACTTTGTTTCTTTTTTATTAGAGAAGAAGCAAACTAATGGTTTTGACTTTTTGCATGTTTATTATACTCAACAAATTTCTCTACATGGGTTACATGCTTTTGATGGCTCACAAATTTCCTACACCTATTTGAGCAAACATTATGAAAGTTTCCAAATAACTGATAATCATCTTTTCTTTCTTTTTTTTAAATATAAGCAAATATAAATGCAATTTGTTAGTTAATAAGTTAGCTAATAGTTGGCTTGATATTACTACATAAAATTTATTCAGTTTCATTAGCTCAGTTAGTTTCCATCTGATACACCAACTGGCATCAAATACCATACTAATTGCAAGAGTTTCTGGAATTTAGAAAATTATTTTTTATCATTTGATTTAATTTTTATACACTCTGATCATTTTAGGTTTTATTTCCCTGAAATTTAAAGTTCTAACAATATTATTCTAACATTCTAACAATATTATTAAAAATAAAGAAGAAATATGAAATTAATTCTTCCAATATTTCATTCTGTTTCAGGAGGCCATTGAATTTGCTGCAACTGAATTTAAAGATTCAGTAACATTTACTGTCTCTGGAGGTGGCCAAACAACCCGCATTGTGTCTTGGTATGCAATTCGGAATATACTTTCGGAGGTATAACTCTTTTCTTTTTTTTCTCTTTTTGTGGTACATGCAAAGTTCAAGAAAATTCTTTGATGTTATGAAATTATGAATATAGTAAGTTAAGATAATTTAAAGAAACAAATTTGAACTAATCAAAATTAAATTAGCAAACAAAATTGAATATGTTATTTGGAAAAATTATCTACATCTTCAGTCTAAATATCCAAAAAGTAAACTAATGAATGAAAAATTTACCAATAAAAGTGAAGACATTTATAAGCTGCTTACTTGATAATAGCCATAGTAAGAAAAGATCAGTAACAATGAACCTTAACTTTGTATGCTTTACAATGTTAACAATGAATTAGAATTGAACACAAATTTAATTCACATCTGTTTCTATATTATTTTGACAAAGTGAACAGATTTTATTTATTTGTAAAATGGAATTTAAATGAATTTTCTTTATTTGCAACTGAGTTTATGAAATAATCAATAAATGTAAGGGAATATTTTCACTTTTGCTTTTTTATTTTCTATAAAATTAATGAAAAAGTATATTTGTTAATTTGTTAATTTGAAGATTTCAAGTTTTACAATGCTTTGTTTTATTTTTAGTAAAAGAAAATTATATTGTGTTATAATCAGTGGATAAGTTGAGTAAATTTTCATAGAAAAATACTTTATCATTTCAAATAAAGATTTTCTTAAAATTTTATTGAGATTTTTTTTTATAAATCACAGTACTGTATTTAAATTGAAGAATACTTGTTATGAATAGTTATTCTATAGATATTTTAAACTATGTACAAAGGGGTGCTGAAAATTTCTTGGTGTCATGAAGAAACTCTTAAAAAATCTGATATTTAATCATTTGGTCAGATTTTGGAAAGTAGATTGGACTGTTAAGTTTTCAGCACCCCTTCATATTAAAGTAATTTTTTTTTAAATATGATTATTTTTTGAGATAATTATCAGACATTTTTTCAAAAACTTTTATAAAAAATTTGTTAATTTTTTTTTCCTGTGACTTAAAATAGAATTCAAAATAAAATCCACTTCTCTGGAGACTTCTATAAACTTGAAATCAAACAAGTTACCATATAATAAAATGTAAGTAAAATATTCATGTTCTTTTCTTTTTGTTCAGGGAATATTTGGACGATGTTTGCAACATTTGGGAGATAGATTATGTTTGGCTGCAATGGTAGAACATCTGATTTCACTGAGTGCAGTCAAAAAAGATTTTGAATATAGCAAATGTAAGTCATTTTAGGTTTAGTAAATTTTTCTCTTGCATTTATTTTTTTTTTAATTAGTATCACCCCAAGCAAGACAGTATAGCCACTAGCATGCAGTGGATTACAGGGTGTGGAGGAATTAGGAACAGAAATATTAGTAATGAGGAGAAAGAAAAGAGCAGTCAGGAGGACAGTAGTTTTTAGAATTAAGTGTTCATATTTGAACACCAGAAACTACAGCTATTGTATACATTATGTAAGTATAGGTGGGTATGTGTGTGTGTGAATTTAGTTACTGGTATAATTATTATATTTTAAAAATAACTATGAAATGACAATCATAGATATGTACTTTTCTTTCTGGATTACACACATTTACCAAAAATATACAATATAATTATGTAATGGATTTTCTGTTTCTTGCTGTCTGCAGCTCCATTTCATGTAATGACAATCTTCAGGCAGTAAGGATATGCATTGATACTATGCACTTTTATTTGGTTACTTTTTTCACACCTTTTGTGCACCATTTTAAAGTGTTGAGGCCCTAATTTTTGTTTGACTAAGAATAGTTGCAACTGTATTTTACACTTAAATGACTGGTATAAAGAAATGGAATGAATTTCAACAAAGAAATCTTTTATATTTTTTGTTTTTATATAACTGAGTAACAAGAGAGAGAAAATACACTAGTATGCATTCAAAAGAATTCTTGATGAATGGTTTGAGATTTACTTTGGTTACAATGATTAACCCATCTTACTATTTGTATGTATTGCTTCAGTTTTGACTTGTTTTGCTCAATCACTTTGTTTCTTTTTGTGTCAGATAATAACCATATTGGTTCCTTTAATAAAATCATTACTAGGAATTGTGTTAGTGATATGTGTGTGTGTGTGTGTGTGAAAATAAAGTTCAGTCATAGAGAGGGAAAGTCCTCTTGGTGTTGTCACTAAAACATGCTGGGAGGAAAAGAGAGATTAGACAACAAAAACAGGAAGTGTCCCATTTTATAAGTGCTTAACAGCACCCTCTAATGACTTCTTGTCAAAGCTGGTGAAGCTGTATGGTGATAACACACAAAAGGAAAAAAAAGAAGTTATATATATGTAATCTTTAGTAATAAAAAGGATAAAGATGATTATAAGGAAGACCCTTGTTAATAATCTATGCATAATGAGACAAACCAGGGAGAACATGAGTGATTTCTAATATCTTAATATTTATTTTACATTACAACTTATAAAAAGAAAAGACAAATTTATTAGGTATAGGAAAATTGTGTAAAACAAATACCAAACCATTTCTAAGATGGATATTATGAATTCACTCTTAGATGGCAAGATGATATGATAGAATTAGTAACATGAACTAAAAACATCTATGTATATGTGCAAAAACAACATTTTATTTTATATGGACATTTGAAAATATTAAATAATTAATACATCAGCCATAAGTAAACCAAATCCTAAACTTCACTTTTTTTCCTTGCAGTAAAATACAAAATTCCAGCAGCATTCTTTCAGAACAATGTAAAGCTTCCAGCCTTGACACAGGCTCTTGATGCCTTACCAAACCACATTCTTGATTCTCCTGAAGGATGTCATTTATATAGAATGCCTATAGAGGTTGGTCAGTTTATTCTTAAGGAAATTAATGAGAAGCCAATTAAAATCTTTTTTAATATTATGCAGTTTTGTTTGGGTTTTATTTAATATTTTTGTGAGGGATGGGTGGGGGTTACAGATTTAATGTTTTTACACCAAAGCAATTCAATGAAAATGAATAATTCACTTAAGCATTTAAGCTTTATAATGTTTTAAAAAATGAACAGTTTATATCCCAGAAATGCTACTTGTAAAAATTTTTTTTTAAATATTGTTTTTATGAGTTAAACATATAGATACACATAAATATTGATACTCAGTCAGAAAAAGTGAATATAAATCTTTTTTTTGTGTTCAGAAATTTATTAACATGACTTCATTTTCCAAACAAATTAAACATGAGATCTTACTTCTGGTAAGGATCTGCACTAGATGACTTTAGTTCAAGGTCATGAAGGGCTTGTAATTAAGATTTTTCACTTGATGATGGCAATAATTATATTTCAATAGAAATATAATTGTCATCATCAAGAGATTGTACAAGATTTGAATATTTTTTAAAGAGCAAACAACAAAATATTCCTTCTAATAGAAAACAGCAATATATTCCTTCTCATAGAAAAAAAATCATGTTAAAGAGAAGAATATTTTTTTACACTCCTGACCAAATTATGAATCATTGGAAAAAGTAGATCTGGTTGTTTTTTTATTTATATTTATTTCTCAGTTCAACAAAATTTTAATGTGTGATTATCTTCATCTAATTTGGTATAATTATAAGGTATTTCTTTGTATCTTTGAACCAAATATGCAAACTGTTATAATAAGCATTTGGTTACAAAAGAATTATGAAGATTAGGTTTTTAAACAACATTTATTTGTTTAATATACATGATATCTTACAGTGTTGTTAGAAAATTGGTGAAATGTCGATTTCAATTGCTGATTGTCAGGATGATGATTAGGTGAAAAGGTAGCACCAGGAGTTAACTAATTTCTTGGGTTTGTTTGATTGAGGTTACGGGATATCATTGGTTGGGTTTGTGCATGAGTTGATCAATTGAGGTCACAGTGGTGGGTCACTTCATGGTAGGGTGCATTGGTTGCTGAGGTGACGAGTGATTGGTGTCACTGGTAGGCCTGTGTTTCTATGAAATGGGGTTGTGATGATGGCTGCAAACAAATGTTTGTAGCAAGTCAGGTATGCAGGTGACAGCAGTGGCAATGAAGAATTAGCTATAGCTTGTAAGCCTGTGTTTCAATGAAATTGGGTTGTGGTGATGACTGCAAGGGAATGCCTATAACAAGTTGGGTATGCCAAGGTGATGGTGGTGGCAACAAGAAATTAGGTGTAGCTAGGTGGTGTCAGCATTCATGACAGTCTGGCATTGGGTGCCTGATGGTGTCGAAGCTGGATAGTCAGTCACTGTAGTGATTCAGGTTTACTGAGGTGACAGTGTTGGTGATCAGGATGGCTTGTAGCTGGGTGGGGACAAAGCTGGGATGATATAAATCTTGGTGGTTTGGTGTCAGGAGCCTGGCAGTGTTGAAGCTGGATAGTTGGCTGCATTCTGCATGTAATGTTACAAATCATGTTGATGGGTTGAGAGCTGGGCAGTATTGAAGCTTGGTGTCTGTTGGTTTCTGTGTGTGAAGAATCGGATGAGATTAGTCAAGACTGGGAGTTGTAATGTTGAGTTAAGAGGAGCAGTCATGTCAGTGATGGTGGCAGCACCTTGTATGTTGGTAGGTGATTTGACAGCCAGCAACTGCTGATGGTCATTGCAAAGGGCCTGCTTTTAAGCAGATATGACTGTCCTCAGGGACATCTTTTTGGCAGGAAAGTTTGCGATTGGCCAATGATGCTTTCATTGCAGGGGCTTGCTTCAGTAAGTGAATGTAGTGCTTGGAGGTTATGTACAGAAAACAACTTTTTTTTCATTTTGTTTCCTGCCTTCATGGCATTCATTCAGAATGAATTAGTAAAAGATCTAATTGCAACATGTTTAAAGGTTTTGTATAACATGTTTAAAGCCATTTTCTTTCAGTTGCAGACAACTTCAGAGCAACAATATATTTTGAAATGTCTAGCTTTAATGTGGAACATCATGTTACCGACTTCTAAGTTTCTTTCACAAAAAGAACTGCCTTATCAGAAAGGTAAAGTGATTTACCTATTTCATGCCAAAATAGTTTTGTATAAAAATTCAATTAAACTTTTCTCTTTGAATCATTTGCCTTTTAAGTTGTATGAGAATATTATAAAAGCTCTAATACTAAAATATCAACTAACAAACAAAAGTCTTGCATGTAATTTTTATTTAACTTTCAAAAATACAATTTATGGAAGCCTAGCCACTGGTATATAACATTTAGTTTCAAGTTAAATTTATCAGATTTTTTATATCTCAGAACTTTGTTATTACTTAGTTTCTACAACATTTTGAAGATTTTAAATAAAATTAATACTTTTCATATTTCTAAAGCAAAAACTGTTTTGATGAAATAAAGTTACTATAAAATTCAGAATTAAAATGCAAAATTCTTTTAACATAGTAAGAACATGTAATAGAAAAAGTTTATTGCATTTTGTTTTTTGTTTAGATATAGCAATCTCTTCACAATCGAAAACTATCCAGAATGATGTATCATCTTGCTGTCTTTCAAACATGTTGCCTTCTTGTACAGACATCTGGGAAGTCTGTGTGGAATCATTATCAAAGTTACCCAGAATTCTCTCCAAGGTAAATCACAAACTGTCTTCAACATTTTTTTTCTGTATAAAATATACATTGATTACATACAGATATATCTTGCAAAAATTGTGATAATTAATAAACCCTTCAAAAACTGATTGGATATAACATTATTTTGGAAATCAAAGACATTTCAATTTCCAATGTGGTACAGTATTGGCACTGTACTAATTCTATGAAAGAATATTAAACAAATCATTTTTGCTTATTGTTTAATCAAAGAATCAAGTGACCTTCATCCCTTAACCACAATAGGGTCATGCAAGGAAGAAAAATTAGGCAATGTTTAACCTTTATGCTAAAAAAAAAAGGTGTGTCAAAAAGGTTATTTCCTTGACACCACTGTTAATGTATACACTGATGACTCTTTTGGCAATGTTTGTTTACAAGATTATAAAAATATGTGAACCAAGTACAATTTCATACTTATTATTTACCTATTTACTTATTATTTATAAATAACTATGAAAACATAGTTTTATTTAATCTAATAAATAAAGTGTTTAATATCTTTGTTGTCAATTCTCAAGAACAAAGAAAATGTATAAATCTATTTTTATATGTTTGGGTTTCATTAAACTTTTAATCATTGCTTTTTAGGATATTACTGAAGGAATCAAAAGTTATTACAATAATAGCGGTTTCAAGGGAATAACTGTCCATTTGACACACCATTTTTTACAGGCATGTAGTTTAAATGTTGCTTAAAAATTATAGGCAGATTTGACTGGTAATTTTGGAAAATCTGTAATAAACATTGCTTGTGTCCATTGTTGCTGCTACAATAAAGAGTTAATTAATTTTAGTTGTAGCAGTAGTAGTATTATTATAATAATAATGATGATGATGATGAGAAGAAGAAGAAGATGAAGACATTAGCAAAAATAGGGAAAAAAGAAGTTAAGTAATATATGGTCATCTTTGCATATTCTGTATTTTTTTAAATTTTATTTTTTTGTTTTATGCACACATCATGCAAGAACTTAGTCAGGGTATGTAATATCACTAGGATGTAAATCCTTTTTGTTCCATTAGTGCTTAATTTGGTATTTTGGCATCATGTTATCCAAATAATAAAATTTGTTTTATTTTGCCCAAGTCACTTTCACTTAAATAATCTTTATTTATAAGGCTCATTAGATTTCTCTGTAATGCAAACAGCAATAATTTAAATTTAATTCTAAGATGCAAGATTTAGAGGCAACAGAAGCATTATGCATGACATTGTTCCAATACAATCCATCACTCAGATGTTTAATGACTTGTGACAATTAGTGATATTTTTGGTAACAATAGCTTCAAACATTGATGACAATAATAATGATCATTAATGGGTTTTTGTTTTGTTTTTGTTTTGCCAGGAAAATCTTCAAAGTCGGATGAATAAAGTTGGTGGTGCCACTGTGTATAACAAATTTATCTTTGGAGAAATTGCACAGCTCAACAATGTGATACAAGAAATTAAGTCCACACTACAGGTTATTTTGCAAATGTTGCTTGTATGATTATTATAAATCACTTTTCTCTAGCTTGTTGTAAGGCTTATGGCCAGGGGAGGTTAAAACATTGGTTCTTGTATGATCACTGAAATTAAGCAATGGTGAGCCTAGTCTGTACCTTGATAGGTGACTACTTGGGAATACCAGGTGATGTAAGCTTGGATTTGTGTGTGGTGTAATGGATAACGGCTCGGAATTGGAAATCAGAAGGCCAAGTTCCAATTTCAGTCAACTTCAGTATATTCATTTACACGCAAATACACTTTGGAAAAGTATGAATCCACCTCGTCTCCCCTCAGCTATGTGTTAATTAGTATGACTTTTATAAGTAAAAATCATTATTACCTCCAAAAAATTCTTGCAATCTAAAAAAATATTTTCTAGCTTTAAATAACCTGCAAAAGGTCAATAAAATCATAAAAAAAAAAAAAATCAATCTAGTTTGTTGGTTTTTAACTGAACTTTTATGCTTCTTGTATGAAGTATTATCTTGGAGTAAATATTGACTTTAATATTTTTATTTAATCTAATTATATTAGGTAAAGAGAGCTTAACACATTCTGAAAGACAATGTAGGAAAAAAGATTTTAGTGATTGCAAAAACTGATTAAATGAAATAACTGATCAAAATTTCAGTCTGATTTAAATTCCCAATCAGCATATTTTCTTGGAGTTTCCTCTCTCAACTACAAAACGTCAATACCATAACCTATTGTTTAATAGCATTTGTTGATTCTGATAACAAAAGCACTTTGAAGTCACTACATCCACAAAAATGACAAATTTGTTCTACATTTTTACCAAACAACACTTTTCATGTAATATAACTTCTGAAATTGCACACCAAGATGTTTACAGGTTTAAGTGTACTAAGCAAAGTATTGTTAATATTGGAGGCATGGCAGAGTAATGGATAGCAGCTGTGATTGAAGAATTGTAGAGCTGAGTTTGAATTCCATTTGAATCCATTACATTCACTTACATGCTAACACACTTGGGAAAGGTATGAATCCTCTTCTTCTCCCCCCAGCTATGGGTAAATAGCAGGACAGACTGGGTTCTATAGCCTTGGATGGCAACTGGTCTACCACAGAAAGAAATGGCAGCCTACTGCGGGAAAAAATCTGCCTCGTCAGTCATGTATAGAAAGATACATGATCATCTGAGCATGTATCATGCATGGCACATAACTGACTGATTATTAATAAATTCTTTATCAATGACAAAGTAATAGATGCCCCTTACAGAAACAAAATCATATCATCTTCACTATTACAAATGTGAATTGATAAAGAGCTGAATATTGTTTGTAAAATAAAGAGTTTATTGTATTCAACAAAAACCGATCATGAAATCTTCAAGCATCACAATGTGTAAGGAAAAATGCGAGTTGTCAGTCACTTCAAAAGTTTTGCTGCAATTTTCCCACAGCACTTGGAACTCAAAAGAAAATAACAAATTGTATTTAAGTCGAAATGACTATTTTCATCCTTTTTATCTGTCATCTATACATGTTTTCTTGCTTACAACCTAATTAATAAACATCTGAGTAGATTATTTATTAAATTGTTAATATCAAATGTACATATATGTAGACATGATATTTTTTGCATAAAAATGAAATTAGATATTTTTTTGATTGATTTAGTAAAATCTTCATGTTTCTGGTTTACCAATTTCATGCCTTTTTAAGGAAAAGAGATTTGAGGAGGTGAATTCACTAGCATGCAGAAGGGGGGCTGAGAGTGCAATGGCCCTGGGCATCCATATTAGGAAGGCATCTAATCAAAGACTGAAATAAGAATTTAGTATATATTTAATTTGAATAAAGTGTTTATTTCATGCTTCATCTGTTTTTATATATTTAAAAATGTCTTCCTTTCTCACATTTCTCAGTACTAGGTTGGATAGGACTACCTACTTGAGTTTTAGGGGCATAGAATCAAGGAGTTGGTCTTAGGCATCACCAAACCTCTGCATGCCACTGAGTCAATGTCAGTAAAGGAACAGAAAATATTTGAACAAATGTTTAAAGTCAAATCTGCCATACACTGAAGCATCTTTCAAGCATTTCTACAATAATGAGATTTCTTTTATGAATCATACAATTGCTTCGTAACCTGCTATATATTATTCTTTTTCATCACTATGAATGATATTTACAAAACTTAACCTAGCATGGTATAAGGCCTCAAGTGTAGAGTACCCAGTAAGGGTACACATAAGGCCTCAGTAAAAGTATTCTACACTTGTGGCCTTATACCATTTCTGTAGTACCTAACTTGCTAACCATTCCCATCAGGACTTCTGTGATTATATTTATCTGTTGTTCCCTAACATAGATTTTTAACAGTACGATCATTTGTAATTTCAATTTTTTCAGGTGTTGAAGTCAGTTTTTGAAGGTCAACACTTAGGAGACAATTTGCCAGAAAAACTTGTTCAAGTTGCCAAAGCCATTTTTTCTCAAGAAATTCCACAACTTTGGATGAAGATGTTGGGACCCACTTCTCTCATCTCTAGTACCAATTTGGCAAACTGGCTTCAAGATCTTCACAACCGATCAACATACCTTGAAAAGATTACACTCATGGTAATAATAATTTTGTTCTGTATGAGGAAAGCAACTTAATATTACCAGGACTTCCAATATCATCACCCCAGGCTAACATTTGCCTCAAATGTATTTTCTTACATATTCAATGTTGCATGTGTATCTGGAAAAGTTTCAGTAAAACTATTCCTATTAAAACTTGAAGGTTCACAGACAAGTCTTTCTTAAAATAAGTGAACAAATTAAAATAAATAATAATAATTATTATTATTTATACAAAGTAAATTGAATAGTTTACTTGTTTTTTAAAATAATTTTTTCCAGTCTAAGACCAATGTTTTATATCATTAACTTAGATACAACATCTATCTATCTATCTATCTATCTAAATAAATAAATAAAGGGCAAATTCTGTCTATTCATCCGTTTATCTGAAACCTCACTAACTCGGGCCATACTTACTCTACATAGACATATTATACATTTTGGGAATCAGAATGATCCTGGAATTGAAAATCTGCCCTTCATCTGGTGATTAGACATCCAGCATTGGGATTTGTGTTCAGATGTGGAGGGAACAGTTAAAAATTCAAATTTATATTGAGTTTAAAATAGCACAAAAACTTTGTGAATTTAAAATTTTTTGTTTCAAATTCAGTTTAAAAAATCTCCAAAAATTTGAATTGAGGAAATCAATTTTATTTCTTCAAAATGCCAAGGAATCAGAGTTAAAGTGAGACGTGTTGTGACGTGCCGTTTTGAAGTCCTGCAGATTTTCTGATTTGAAGAACTCAACTCAATTGAACTTCCACAGAGTTTATGATTTGAAGAACTCAATTTTTGCCTGAATTGTAATTTCAACCCAAATCGGAGTTTCACCCTAAATCGATCTTTTGGCTAGAATTGGACTTATAGCCTGAATCAGAGTTAAAGTGATGTTTTGAAGTTCCATGGAGTGAATTAAGGAATTTAAAGTTATTTCTTCAAAATTATCATTGCTGTTTTCTAAGCTAAACCAGATGTCACTTTCATTTGTGGCTGGAGGCACAATTAGCCCTCTGCAGGAGCTAGCTTAAAAGTTTGCATGGAGTGTGGCTTTTAAACTAGTTTTTAATAAAAAAATCATTTTACTGATGGATACGTTATTTAGAGTTATTGATTCATATATTGATTCATATATCTTTGTTTGGTTTTAATGTTCACCTCAACTTCTGATGCTGCATGAAAACAATAAAACCCACCAACTTGAAAGAGATAAGTAAAACAAAATCTTATCCAAAACAATCCTGACAATTAACATCAAGGATGACAATCATCCTTGATGTTTATTGTCTCACCATTAACAAACAACTTGCAATAAAGAGGAGATGAACTAAATTCTATGTATTATAGTATTTATTCAATCAGAGTCGTTTCTGGAAAGCATTATTTGTAAATAATTTAGCAGTTTTAGCCTGTCTTCATTAGTCTCAAATGTCTATTTCTTTGATTTGCTATCATACTTTGACCTACAAACAGTTGCAGTTTCCCATAGCACGTACTCAAAGAGCTCTTCATGTAATTAACAACCATTCTTGAATATCATTTGTCCTTTTGAGAGCCACTCAGAATTTTCCAGATGCTTATAAGCACAAATATATACTCATTTCATTGCAAAGTAAACAGATTTATCACTTCAACCCACAGTATTCAAATAACTCTACATAAATCAAGCATTTACTTTATGAATGTTTTTTTATTTTCAGGGTCGGGAAAAGATGCCTACTTATTGGATAGGAGCTTTCATCAATCCACAGAAATTCTTGTCCTTGTTTAAATGGGAATTTATGATGAAGATGGCAAATGAAAATGTTACCTATGAGAACATTTCAACACAGACAATCATCACTGGAAGAGATAAAGATCATGTGAGTTCTTTTGAATTCCTACTTCTAATGATGAGAGACTTAATTCACAGACTTTGTGAAAATATTTATCATTCTTTCAGAGAAATCTATGTGGATCTTTTACTAAGTTTTGTGATCTGAAAGAGAAAAAAAAATGATTTTACAAACATTTTTGTGCACTTTTAGAAAAAAAAGAAATCTCAAGAAAGCTCCTTTTGTTAGAATATAAACTATATATAGTTTGATTATATTTATCTTTTACAGAGGTGGTTACAAAAAAAATCTTTCATTTGGAACATTATTTTACATCTCATATGAATATTGTTTATAAAGGATTAGCTAACATATTCTGTTTTATCTTAATCAATCAGCATGTGTGCATATATATATATATATATATATATATATATATATATATAGCAGAAAAAAATTTTTGTGTGATATGCTTCACCCTTTAGGATTTCATTGGACTAAATTGATTATGTTAATGCAAATACACATGTGCATGAAGGTGTAAGTAGATTGATAATTTTAAATTTAAAATTGTTTTTTAATTAAAAATTTTCAGCATACCCTCTTCTTCATGCACATGTGTAGTTGCATCAATGTAAACATTATTATAGTTTGATGAAGTCCTAAAGAATTTTTCCAGTTTATTAGATTTCCCTAAAATTGTTCTTGATACAGAAAAATTTATATATCATTTTTCCATATATATATATATATACATATATATATATATATATATACACACACACACACACATACAAAAGTTTCCATAAAAAATCAGTTTTCAATTATATATTCAGCCTTCAATTTTCAAAAACAGCACTGGGAACATTTACTGAAATTTTATGAAATTATTTTACTTTTTATGGCATTTTCTTTTTGTTTTTATCAAAACAGAAAAATTAATAGAGAGAAATAATATGAATTGTAATTAAAAGAAAAAAGAGGTTTGGGGGCTGAGAAGAAACATTTTAAACCTTACTAAGGTGCAATTTCTATATAAGCAACAATAGATTTTACTACAGTTTCTGCGTTGTGGTGAAAAAATAACTAATAATTAATAGGATTTAAGGTTAAATGCACAATATTAATTGGTGTAAATAACAGCCTCTCCTTGTAATTAAGCAATTATGTGACCATTGTTTGAAAAACATTTATTTGAATTGTAAATTGTTTGAATGAAAATTAATCGAAAGGACAATTATATTAATTTTGCATTTCAAATAATTATATTTGAAATGCAAAATTTTTTATTGCAAAAAAAATGTAAAAATTAAAAGAGGAAATACATAAATGATAATTATTCAAAATAGAAATATTGTTAATAAAACAAATTAGTAAGAAGAAAAAATCCCTATAAGTTTAAGTCATATGATAATGCATGCAAATAGTCAACTACTTAAGAGTACTTGTTAAAGGATGCCACTAATTTCTTTAGTTTTCTATTTACACTGCAGTATTTATTGGTACACTTGATATTTTGGCAACCTGCTCTTACTTTTGCAATATGAATTTCTTGCAAGACCTGTTCTCTTTTATTATCCTATGATTATAAACTGCATCCAGCACCAAGGAGGTTTTGAGGAGCATGGAATTGCCTCTTAGTTGCTGTTGTTCCCGGGTCCACCCTAACTCAGGGTGGTAGCATCCATTAGGGTCCCAGCTAAGAGTAAATAGTTTCCCCCCTTCCTTGAACTGGAGTCAGAATACTAGGAAAGTGTAAGACTGGGTTTTTTGTAATAATACCATCAATACAAATTGCAGTATATAAAGTGCACATTCACAAAACCTGATTTCAAAAAACTACAATTTCCCCTAAATGTGGCTACCTGTTTACTGTGGGTAGCAACCAGTGATGCCTGGGGATGGAGTCCTGGTGACTGAGTGACTTCTGAACTGGTATAAAATGACCAGGAGTTTCCACAACACGTCACTTTGATCCCTACCTGGGATAGACGGGCAAGTGGAATAGCCCAATCCATCCCAATCGGCTAGTCACATAGTGGCAAGGGCTAGTTAGGATGATAGATAATGGGTCCAACAGGGACATGAAACCTTACATCATACGATACTTGGGTAGATATGGTGGGGGAGTGTGGGTGCTCATATCCACTCTCATCACAACTATACTGTCTGTGTAGCCCTGGTGGATTAGGGCAAATGGGATTAGTTCCCCCTGATAGTGTCCCTTAAGAAGGAACTCTGAGGTGGGTGGGGAGCACAGTCAGCGAATGCAAAAATTAAAATTATATGTCTATATCTTATAAGCAAGCCAAAAGACAATATGAGACTTCTGAAAGCAAAAATGAAATAGAAAAAAATCAATTTCCAACTTTCATTGTTGTAGAATCAGTAGAGGGTGATATATCAAAAGTGTCTCCTTTTGTGTTGCAAAGGGTTATTTCAGACATGATCAAACCACAATCTATTAAAATAATACTCTATTAATTCAAGTGATATCCAAAAAGACACAGAGAAATTGCTAAAAATCAAGCAATAAAGTCAAAGCCTACCCCCATCAATTTCTTAAAGCATCAAAAGGCGTAATAAAATGCCCAGAACTGTCACTTTGTTCATCAGAAGAAATTTAAAATGACGACACCCTAAAAAAAAGGAATAACAGATGTTAAAAAAATGCAAGTAAAAAGAAATGACACAGTAATAAACACCAATACATATATTTTGACATTTGACAAACCGACTCTACCAAAAGAAATAAAGATAGGTTATACAGTAGCCAAATGTCATAAATGTCAAAAATTTGGTCATCTTCAAAATGTTTGTACAAGAACATCAGTCTGTCAAAGATGTGGGAAACCAGAAACTGGGCATGATGAATCACCTTTTGAAAGGCCTCCTTTATGTCCAAACTGTAAAGAAAAACATTCAGCAGACTCCAAAGAATGTAATATTTGGAAAAAGAAAAAGGAAATAATTAGAAGAAAATATACGCAAAATATCTTATTCCAAGAAGCCATGTTGCGTCTAATTCACTTCAAGCGTCATATGCAAATATCACTAAAATATCAAATCAACAAAAAGTCATCCAAGAAAACAATGCGTTAAGAAGGCAAGATCTTATAAATCTTATTAATGAATTAATAAGTTTAATAGAACTACTAAAATGTAGTATATCACTCATAAATCAAACTCCAATTGACAAAAAATTTCTGTACCGTCAACCTCAAACAAAAAGTCTCTACATGTACAAAACAATTGAAGCCGAAAATTCCAAACCAAAGTACAAAAATCCAAGAAATAGAAACCTCTAAACATTCTCAAAAGAACCAAGAGGTACATAACAAAAAATAACTCAACTTTTATTGAAGAATCAAAAGAAATGGACATAGAGGAACAAAACTTTAGCCCATTACAAACAATGGATCAGTCATCATCTATACAAAGATCATTAAAAGAACCTAATGGAAAAAGTAAGGGAACAAAATCAAACAAACAAGCAGAAACAAAAGAAGTTCAAAGAACAAAACATAACAAGAAACAAAATGTTAATAGGCTGGAGAGCATAGGAAACATGGACACTTCACCCAATGTAACATTATAAATTTCATTAAAGAAATTGGGCTCTACAGAAAAAAAAACAGTTTCTAAATCTGCTTTCTTATTTTCCTAACCTAGTTTGGAAAAAAAAAATTATTTCCAACAATACATTTTTGGTTACCAGCAATACCTTTATGAAGGAAAAATTATTAACAACTATTCATTATTGAGGAAAAATTATTACCAGCAATGTATTTTTGAAGGCAAGTTATTACCAGCAGTATGTTTTTGAAGAAAGAGTTATTACCAGGAATATAGCTTTGAAGAAAAAATGGTTATCGGAGATAATAATATAATTTCTCCTTCAATTTTGAAGGAAATATCGTATTATCAGCAATAGTTTCATAAAGAAATATTACCAGCAATATGTTTTTGGAAAAACGTTACCAGCAATACATTTTTGGAAAAACGTTACCTGCAATACATTTTTGGAAAATATTATTTGCAATCAATTTTAAAAGGAAGGATATTGCTAGAAATAGTTTTTTGAAGAAAAATATTACCAGCAATAAAAATTTTGTTGGCATTAAATAACCAATTGAGGTTGATATGCCCTAAATCTCAATCAATCAATCAATGTTCTCTTCTAAGATCATCTAAGAATTTCAATGATGTTGGATGATGAGATGACACATGCTGCAAAAAAAAAACCCTATGCTTCAGAGATGTTATTAGTTCTAGGTAAATGAGCATTGGCTCTCTCAAAGCAAGACCATATACATATTTTAAACAATTATCATTTAATATAACTGTCCTTTCAATTAATTTTCATTCAAAAAATTTGCAATTTGAATAAATGCTTTTCAAGTAATTGTTTTCAAACAATTATTTTCAAACAATTTTCTCAATACAAATTAAACTTATTCATGACAGAAATACATTGATTTTTAATTCTTTTATTTATACCAAAAGTGTTGAAAAGTTCTTGAACCAAGCCACTTCCCCAAATATATGAACAAACTTTTTTTAAAGCTTATCTTATTAAGGCTGGGAACTTTTCAGCAACCCTGATTGTTTCAAAAAGAAATTGTCAGCAAATCAACAGTGTTCCATTAGAGGTGGCTTTATATTCCCATTTTCTTTTCAGATCCGTGATCCTCCAGCAGAAGGTGTGTTCCTCTATGGTATATACACATGGGGATTTATTTGGGACAAGGCAACAGGTGAAGTGTTGGATTCTTTACCAAAAGGAGGAGGTGGAGGCTCATTACCAGTTGTGCACCTTTTCTACACCCATGAACCAAAAGATAATCTTTACCCCTGCCCTGTATATTCATGCAGAGACACCAAGAATACAGAGTGCATTTTTGAATTGGACATTTACAAAGAAAATGTTACACTAACACGATGGTCTCTTCGGGGAATTATGGCCACCTTACACCCATTCTGAATATAGAAAAAAGTAAATAAACTGAGACAATAAAGGAGAAGAAATCTGATTTGATATCAAATTATTATTATTATTGTTTCTTAAAAAATTATGCTAAAACCAAGAGCTGAAAACCAAACAGACTGCAGTGAGTAGGTAAATTTTAAAAACTTACCAGTTTAATTATTCTTATAACTGAAGTATATTTCCTACAACATGAAATGCATATTTGAAGAATATCGATTTTAAATTATTAAAGAGTGATTCATCTCTGAAACATATGAGAAAATTCCTCTTTTTATCTTGGTCACTGAAATTCTCATTACTAATCACTAACCCACAGCAATGTGCCAAACTACAGACATAATAAATGACACTCACTGTTCTGTACTAAACTAATCAGGGTACCTACTTTGGATTGTCTTTCTATCTGTCTATATTTCTGAGATTGTAGCTATTTACATTGTTTGGATTGTTGTCCTCACTTTGTTGCCATATTCACTATGTTTCAGCCATTGTACACTCCAGTCTTCTTCAGGTGATTGGAATTTCAAACCAAACCCTTTATTTCATCTACCGGGGGGTAGATTGTTCTAGTTCCACATGCCATGCCTCTTCTGGATATCTCAGTTTCAGTTATTTCCCTTTATTAACTTAACTCTCCAAGTTTTTGTTCACTTCTGCTGTGGCCAGGTATTGAACTCACAATTCTTTGGGTCAAGTCACTGAATTACTTCAACTAATGCTTTTATCTCATGGGCCATGTGTTCCCAAATAAAATTACTAAAGTGAAAGAATTGATACTGAAACATCTGGAAGATGCATGGCACATGGAACTAAAACAATCTACTGGTTGATGAAATAAAGGGTTCGTTTCAAAATTTCGATCACCTGAAGAATGCCGGAGCATACAACAAGCTGAAACCTCGTGAACATGGTTACATGTAAATAGTGTAAGTTGTCTTCCAAGTGTAGAAAGTTGAAATTTTGTTGGATGCTGCATTACTGATAAAGCTAAACTTGCTAAATAACTACCGTATATACTTGTGGATAGGTTGCACTTTTTCTACCAAAAATTTCACAAAATATTACCTATCCACTAAACATAAATGTAAAACAATAATGCCTTGTCATCATGATTTCTGAGAAATTAGAAATGATACTCATAAAACACTAAAGCTGTGGTTTTTCTCTGTATAGAAACAATTTATCTATCATATATACTGACTCACTGCTTTAAACTTACATCATGCTGCTAGATTCACATATCCATCACAATAAATAAATAAAATTATAAAATATTCATTGATCGGTCGGGGCCCTTGCACTAGACCGATATAGAAACCCTGAACATGCATACATAAGTTTACAAACCATGTGTAGATGTTTATTGACAAAGAAAAAATAGTCCCACAATTCATTCTGCAAAATATATATATTTTGTCAAAAATACATAGGAAAATATGACTTAAAGAAATGAAATATATTCTTTATAAGATAATTTTCTTTAATGGTTGTTTCATAGAACATTAAAAGGTGTTCTTAAGTGTTATTTACAAATAACAAAATGCATGAATCTAGTAACCAAATCATTTGCAGTATTTTGTGTTTTAACTGTAAAAGTGTATTAATAATTGTAAGTTTTGAAATAAAGGTAGATATCTGATAATTCTTATGTTTAAAAAGGGCCGTATAACTCCCCAGATTATAGTGTGACCTACCTGTTAGTCAACAGTAAATCGTCAATTATTAAGCCATGAAGTAGGGGTGCAACCTATCCGGTGGGGGTGACCTATCCACAAATATATATGGTACCTTATCATTTTATTATTTACCTTACATTTATATTTAGTTAAAAGGAAATTTTCAGGCAGTATTTTAAATACAAAGATGTAATTGTTAACTTCCTGTAAACATAAGTAGGAAAAGCTTTAAAAAGTATTATTGTGAAAATATAGTATAAAAGACTTTTAAATAATTGGCTCACTTTTATCAATTTGGTCATTTCATTTTCTCTAACACCAATTCAAAAGGAAATACACTGTATTAAGTTACAATATTTTATTTACAAATAAATCCGTTTTATCTCTAAAACCTGTAATTTTCATTACCCATTTCTTTAAGATTTTCCCACTTATTCATCAATTGCTATTCCACCTGAACCATAACCATTGAAAGAAAGCTGTAACTTAATATCTATTTTTAATCATTTCACCTCCAAGCAAGGCAATAAAGTCACTAAGATGCAAGGGGTTACAGAGTGGGAAAGAATATTAAAAAGAGATATGGCTAATGTGAGTCAGTAGAGATGCAAAAAAGCCCAGAGTTAGCATGCAGACATGTCTGTCAAAGCTAGTCACATCTGTCCCCCACCCTATTAGCAGCAGAACAACTTGGCATGTCCAGATACGAACATCTCTGCAACTTGTCCAGATCTAGTTCTTTGTTAACTGTCTCGTGTCAATAAAAGTGTTCGGAAAACCAAGTCTTGGCATCTTGTGATGATGTTCCCTTGGTAGATTTTGTTCCAGAAGTTGCATGCCACTCACCATGCTGTGGTTTCTGAGACAGTGACCTCACTAGTCATTACTCAGTTTTATTTTGTTTCCTCCCATCTCTTTCACTTCTCTGCCTGTTACCCTGTAATTCTTAAGAGAACAATTGGTTAAGTGTTTCCCCCAAATTCAAATGTAATGTCAATTGACATCTCCAATTACCTTGATCTATCCACTATCCTTCTCCTCATCCTTTCTTCTATCACTCCTATCTGCTCTTGCTCCAAATCTTCTGCAACCCCCTGCATCCTAGTGGCTTCACGCCTTGCTCGGGGCGTAATGCTTAAAAAAAAAACAAACCTCAACACACCCTTGTCTCAATAAGAGAAAACAATAAAAGAACAGGAATTAAGAAAACAGAAGGTAACAATTGACATTGCATTTAAATTTTAAAAGATCAAAATTGGCTAGAAGAAAGTTTCACAAGTGAGAAGTGAGAGAGAGAAAACACTGTTAGCATAGGATACATTATGGATACATCTAGCCATTTCGACTGGAAAATGATGAGACCTAACTGACCATCTAGTACTGCATTTAAATTTGTAAAATCAAGGTACAATGAAAATATTTGTAGAAAAGTCACAGGGAAGCCATGTTACAGTGGTGAGACAGGTAACTGAAGCCAAGATGTCAATAATAATCTTAATTAAACAAAGATGACCCTTTTTTAAATTTTTTTTATATGTAATAAAATATCTTAGTAATGAGCAGAAACTGGCTATTTTAACCAAGTTTTCAGCACTATTAGGCGGATCTGTACATTAATATGTTGACAAGAAATATTTATAAGTAATTATATTAAATTCAATGTAACGTTAATTTACAAGAGTTATAATGCTTGAATTTATTGATACTGATGTGACACCTTAAGGGGTTAAAGGTTAAATTCAGAGAGTTGTTTTTTTTTCTTTACAAAAACCAGATGGCTGAATGTTATGGTCCAGATTAGGACCAAGGAAGAACAACACAAACACAAGAGTAGAAATAACGAAGGTATATTACACGAAATAATAATACAAGATGTGGAAGGTGTTAGCATGACTGTCAGTCTGGGTTGGAGTGAACTACTATCGGCTCGATTCGATTCGACCCTCTCTCTTGAGAGGCGTAGTATACATAGTGTTAGGAAGAGTTCATTCTGTAGTTATAGGTAAGGACCCATGACACCGCCCCCCACTCTCAAGCTTTTACCTCGCAGGGGATTAATCATCAAAGGCTCTGTAAATTTTCTTTTTCTGCTTGATTTCCGCGGTTCTGAAATTACTTGAGACCTTTGCATTATATAGCATTTTTTTTATTGGCGTGGCTCTTTCTGGGTCTGGTCTTCTTCCTTCTTCGTTAATAATATGGCCCAGATATTTGATCTCCTTCATAAAGAAGTCACATTTATTTTACTTTACCTTAAAACCGTAATTTTGTATCTGCCTGGAAACCTCTTGAACGTGTTCCCAGTGTTGTTCAATATTTTTGCTATATATCAGGATGTCATCAAGGTATGCGATTGTGAAATCCAGTCCGCCTAGCATAGCGTCCATTATTTGCTGAAATATCGCCGGTGCGACCTTGATCCCGAATGGTAATCTCTGGAACTTATATATAATCCTTTATGTGTGTTTATGCACAACAACCTCGAGCTTTCCTCATCTACTGGTGTTTGTAGGTATGCTTCGCTCAAGTCTATTTTTGAGAAAAAATTTTCTCCGTTCAACTTTGAGAAAACTTCCTCTGGACTAGGGAGAGGATAGTGATAATCCTTAATCGCTGCATTCAATCCCGTCGAGAAATCAGCGCATACTCGTATCTCACCCGATTTCTTTTTCACATAAACCATAGGTGTGGCCCATTGACTATATTCCACCTTTGTCAATATACTGGTTTTCACGAGTCTATCCAACTCTTCGTCTATCTTTTCTAATGATGTGAATTCTTTTCTTTTTGAAAATGGGTTGTACATTTTCTTTTAGTTCGATTTTGGCCATCATTTTTTTACGCCTCCCGAGGCCGGCTGAAAATACGTCGGGGGAAACTCTGCTTTAACTTCTCCGCCTCGGTCAATAACCTTTCCACTTTTTGGCAGAACGTATTTATCGGCAAATCCCAGAGGTCAAATTTCTGCATCCAGTCAGTTCCAAATAAATTTTCCGTATTTTTTTTAATATACATCTTTAATTTCTTGGTCATCCCGTTGAACGTCACATTTGTGATAATTTCCCCCTCAAGTTTGATTTTTCTTCCTGTTACCGACCTGGCTATTTTATCTGTTCTCAACATGGTCGGTTTGTTTAATTTCTTCCACGTCTGTAAGTTAATAATGGTTAAATCTGATCCGGAATCTAATTGTAATCTGATTTTTTTGTTTAAAATTTCTACTTGTACGTATTTTTGTATATTTATCCCGTCCGCTTGGTCAGTTCTAGTGACTGTTACTCGGCTTTGGTTTTTTTTCTTTGTTCTACAGTGCAAACT